GAGAATCATCAGGAGGAACTTGCTTACTTTCTTCAGGGCAGGACAAGCTCTCCTTTGGGAAGCGGGGCTTCTTTTCCTTCCTTCTCCTTTTCCAGGTGAGGCAGCCAGGACGCCCCTTAGAGACAGTAAGAATCTGTGCCTCAGAGCGGAATAAGCCCCCCAGACTGAATTCAGGTTTGAATAGACTGATCAGCTGTGTGATTTTAAGCAAGTCATGAAACTTCTTTGAATCTCAGCCTATTCACCTCTAAAATTGGCGGAAAAAAGAGGTATCTGCTGATTATTGTAGAGTTCAAAATACTATTTGTATAGTTCCTGGCCCCTAATCTGGGAGCTTTATTCCATCTAGGTGGTGTGACCTCACTCCGGTGATCAAGTGAGGGGAATCTAGCCATAGGCTTCACCCTTGCCTCTCCAGATGGGTCCCCAGATGAGCAGCATTGGCTGTGGCCAGGGCAGAAAGGCAGACTGCTGAATCCCACTGGGCTTTAACCAGCTCCCCAAGGACCCCCTGCACATTAGCGTTTGGTGGCCAAGCGTCATCTCATTTAATCCGCAACGGTCCTGGGAGGGGAGTGCTGCTCTCTCCATTTTTCAAATGAGAAAACCAACTCTGCGAGATGAAAAATCACTTCTTAAAATCATCCAGCTAGTCTGTCCCACAGCCAGGATTTAAACCCAGAGCCATTTGAATCCAGAACCATTGCTGACAAAGGTTCTCTCCTTGAACAAACTCTAGACAAGCTTCTCTAAGCCTTCTTCGTGACTAGGCCTCAACCTGGGCCCATAAACACTGCAGACTCGGCAGAAATGATTCAGTCCACCCTCCGCCCGAAGCACCACAGCCTCAGCAGACCTGAACAAACACTAATCTCTAACAGCTCGGGGCTGCATCCCCGGGAGGACCCTAGCCCCGGTGAAAGTGATTGCCAAGAAAACTCAAGGCTACCAAAAGCGTTACTGTCTCTTCTGGCTGAAGAGGGCTGCTACCTCCCCATCGCTGTGCGGGGGCTGAGAGCCCGACGTGGGTGCATGCCAGGTGGCAAACCCAGAGCAGGTTCACATGCGCCAGCCCCCACTTTCTGATTTTTGTAGATTTAGCTAGAAATTCCCTGCACAAGCTTCAGCTGTCCCCGGCCCTGCTTTTTCATTCTCTTTAAAATGCCCTCTATAGAATTCAAACTCTGTAAAAAAAAAAAACATTTGCCTGAGGGTAAAATGCTGTCAACTGCCTGGCTCTGTGGAAAGGCGCCTGGGGAGAAGAGAGAACATATTCTGGCCCCAGAGGCCTCCTGCCAAGGAACCCTCCCAGTCTGGGCTCCCGCTCACATGCACCCACCTTCAGAGCCACTCTGAGTAGAGCCCCGCCGAGGGGCTGCCCAAGAACCCTTCCTGCAATGCTCTCAGTGTTTGTGCTGTTTTGTTTATTGAGTTCCAATTTCTTGTTTCTTTCAAAAGTTTGTAAAACTCTCCTCTACTGAAGGTCTCTTCCAGTCTCTGCTGCCAGGAGTTTCCTATCACTCCTTTCCTCTTCACGTGTTGGAATTTCAGGTTTAAGTGGAGGGTGAGCATTTGGTCTCATGTGTCCACTCCTCACTGAATCCCTGAGGAGACCCTTCATGCTTCTATGAGCAGATTTCAGCACAGCTCCCTGGGAAATTCTGTTTCTTGAACCATATATTAGCCTTCGAGGGAGTAAAAATTTTCCACGGACAACATGGTTCTGCTGTGGATGCAACCGTGCATGACAACATAAACTAAGGGATTGTGAAGATTCAGTTCAGTCCTTCTCCAACTACAGTTGAAATTAAACCAGCTTTCTAAGTGGGAAGAAAATACATGCAAACTAAAAACCATCAAGGCAGCATACAAGCCAAAGATGTGACCACATGAGAGAGGTGACCAAAATCTCCCATCAGCTTCTACCCACAGGGAAAAAATAGGCACTTTATGCCAAATTATGTGCAATGTGGACGAACCTGCTCAGTGAAAGAAGCCAGACACACAAGGCCACATCTTATATGCTTCCGTTTACATGAACTGTCCAGAATAGGCAAATCTATAGAGACAGAAAGTAGATTAATAGTAGTTGCCAGGGGCTGGGGAGAATGACCACTGATAGGGACACAGTTTCTTTTTGAGGTGATGAAAATGTCCTAAAATTAGGTAGTGCTGATAGTTGCACACACACAAAATGCCCTCTGTAGAACGGGAAGTTGAGTCAGTACACTCTGGAGCCTCATCCCTATTGCAGTAGCATATTGCTGATCACTATCTGTCCTTAACTCTTTATTACGGTTCATCTATCTCTGCCAGATCTTTACCACTATGTTACCTATCTAATGCTGATTTGATTAAGAATTCCCTGAAGCCATTTCTGTACTTGGCCAACTTGATTAGAAGAAATTCTGCCCCAGAGTGTTCATCCAACAGATGCTTGGAACCCAGATTGTTGGAGTCTGGGACTCCCGTCTGCTCTGATGCCCACATACACTGGCAAAGTCAATGGAGGGGAGAAGTCCATAGCCACACAGCACTATGGAGGGCAGTATAAATACCGAGCCAGATGGCTCAAAGCTGCTGAATCAGTGCTTCAGCCCTGGGCTTGCACCAGGTTTCACTGTGACTTCAGAGAGGCAAGCTGCAACACAGCCCTGGCATCCACAGGGCATCCCTAGGGAGCTCTGAAGCCCTGGCTGGTGACAGGGGCCATCTCTAGTCAACCCCTCTAAGGTAGAGACGTGTGGAGTTCAGCAGGAGCCTGCCCTTCACATCATTCCCAGCTGCTGTCTTGAAGGGCCCCACCCAGACGAGCTGCCAGGAATTCAGTCTCCTTCAGTGTTGACAGGATTAGTTTGGAATCATCTGACAGTATTTGAATCAGGGTTTGGGGGAGCACAGGCAGCTTGTGGATGCCAAGACCACAAGTCTCTGCAGGGAGAATTAGAACGAGGGAGAACAGGAAGGCAAGCAAGCCCCTGCCAGACTTGGCAATCTTGATGGAAACGTGCAGATCTTTGACTGTCACAAGGTGGCTGGAGGGTGCATCCCTACAGAAATCTAGCCCCCAATGCTTGTCAAGAGAGGGGCAGAGGAATGTGTGTTCAGTCACTTTGGGAGAGAAAGTTTCTGTGAGAAGAAAAAATCATTAGTATGTCATGATCACGTTTTGTTTCCTTTCCCATGACAGGCTAACAAGAAGACAGGTCCAGCCACATAGGGATGGTGGCAAGATGTTAAGGGTTCCACACATAAAACTGGTCAGACGCGGTCATTACCACACCAGGCTTATTCACGCCCCTGGGTGCCCCCACAACCACACACTGACTTCCCCCCGAGAGAAGCACCATGCTGAGGGCATTGCCATTTTACTTACTGCTTTGGCCCCCAGAAACACCAATTGTTTGCTGAAGATGGGAAAAAAATCAGATTAGGACCAGGTTAGATGTCCTTTATTCTTTGGATCCTTTGCTCCTATCTTCTTAAGGCACTGCCCTGCCTTCCTCTTCTTTTCCTTTTGAAAATTTTGCAGGTAGTTCTTTCAGAGCCCTCTGCAATGGCAGGGAACTGTGAAACCAGCTCGGATCAGCCTTTCTTCCTTAGTCACCCTGGTGGACTTAGGGGAGTACATGGATCTTTTAAGACTCCAGCCATGTCACACCGCTATGTAAACTCGCCACTTGGTCATATTCAGAGTCAACACCAAATTCCTGAGCAAGGCTCCTGAGGCCGCACCTGACCAGCACCCCCTACTCTCTGTCCCTCACCCCAGACACACTGGGCCGCTCCCCGGGGCCTCTGCCTTTCTGCCGCCTCTTATGGGGCTTCCTTGCCCATTCCTACGTCTTTTTCCTGTGAGCCCCTTGAGAATGGCAACTTTACCTGTTTTGTTTATCTGAACATTCCCCAAGGCCTAGAGCAGTGCAAGGCCCAGGGCCGGGCTGCCGCTGACAGTGGTGAGGGGAACCAGGAGGCAGGACTGCAGGCCTGAGTGTGGGGTTGCTGGGGCTGCACCCCAGTGACTTGTCACTCTGAAGGCAACGCTCACTGCCCTCCAGGTGCCTCCAGCCTTCGCCGTGGAGGATCTGAGGGGGATACGGGGCTGCCCCATAGCAGCACTGCCACTGCTTAACAGGCGAGGTTAGCCTCAGAGGCCACGGGAGAACTGAGGGCCACATGGTCCGCCAGGCCCCTGGTCAAGGCACTTCCTTTTTTGTAACACCCTCTCCCTCCTAAGATTGGAAGCAAGAGTTCAAGCTGATAGAACCCTGACAGAGTTTGTGCAAGGTTGTTTGCCAGGGTGGCTGGTGTTGCGGCAGCAGTTAGTTTGGGGGTCTGGGTTGAACTCACCTTTTCATGAGCAACAAACAGTGTGATCAAGAAGGGCCTTGCCTCCCTGGGGCCGCTGGGGCAAGACTCTCTGGGGGGCCCTGTCTCAAGCCCCCTATGATGGTCTGGTACCCTAAAGGTGCCTGGCCCTGCACACTCTCTCTGGTAAAGTGATTCCCTTGAGGTCAAGTCTGCAGTGCAGCACATGAGGCGGATGAAGGGATGAGTCCTGCCATCTGGTCTGACCTGAAACAGGCAGCTGTTGGCCACATGATCACAAATTAGGAGATTAGTGGGCTGGGTCCTACTGGCTGGTAGCTTATGTCCGCATGACACCTGGGCTCACAGGGCACCGTTTCTCATAGACCTCAGACCTCAGGTGAACATTTCTGCATTTCCCCAGAGGGAGACACTACTGCTAACTTGTAATGACATATTGTCTACCACCTCGTGTTCCCCCCAGATATCCTGCGACTATAGAATAGACAGAGGAGTGTGGAAGTTGCAGGGACACTCCCACATCAGAAAGCCAGTCCCCTGGTGACGTTTACATGACCTGTGGTGAGGTGGCCGATTCGGATGACCTGGGGGCACAGTGGCAGTGCTCCCCACACACATGTGATGCACTCAGCAGGATCCCATGTAAACAGAGTGTGAGAAGACAGAGGGGCTGAGGTGTGAACCTTTATTCTCAATTCCTCCAGTATGATATAGAACATTCACAAGGTCTCTGAGATGTATTTTCTTATTCTTTTGTGCCACCAAAGCTCCTTTCCAAAATAACATCTTAATTAGTGTTCTGTGTTGTGGGCATTCAAAAACCAGATGCCAGCAGCTTCATGATTTTGATTTCACTTCATTTCCCAGAAGCTCTTCAGCCCTGGGTCCTCGGGCTGTGGTACATCACAGCTGCCCCTCTGCTTGCCAGGAAGGGTCCTACAGGGAGGTAGGCTGCCATTTCACCAGCTAAGCACAGGCACTCTGTCCCAGCAGGCTTCTGATATCTTTCCAGAAACGTCTTCTGTGGGAACTCAAAAAAGGCTGAGTTCACACTGACTGTCCCAGGATAGAACTTCCAGGCAGGGTGCAGAAATTACCCATACCGGGACTTACAAAACATATTTAAAGTTTGCATGCTGCAGGCCCAGCAGGGGCACCTGGCTTCTGCAGTCCTGCAGGGCTAAATGCGGTGCTTCAGCTCCATCTTGGCCACTGCTGCGCGGTGCACCTCGTCAGGGCCGTCAGCAAAGCGCAGGGCACGGGCCCAGGCAAAGAACTGAGCCAGGGGGTAGTCACTGCTCAACCCTGCTGCTCCAAAGGCCTGGCAGACACAGGGGAGGAGGGGAGGAAATGACAGCCTGCTCAGAATGGCTGAGAATGACTCATAACAGCTATCTTCCCACGGATGTCCCCTGACAGCTGTCATAACTGATATTCTGGAAAACTTCAGGTGGGGCCACTCTTGCCCTTCCTTGGACACCAGATGCCCCAAGTCCAGCAGCTAGGTGGCTTCTGCCACTGAAAAATCTCTATTTGGGGGCCAGCTGTTAAGACTCCTTGCATGGTTAGAAGGCTGGGCTTTGGTGTAATAAAAGCTAGGTGTCCATAAATCCAAGATCAGCTACTTGCAAACTGTGTGACCTTGGGCAGTCCCTTCACTTTTCTGGGCCCCTGTTTCCACATATTCAAAATGGGGGTGGGAACAGGTCATCTTACGGGCGTTCTGAGGAGTAACAGGAAAATCACATCATGGTGAGTGTTCCCCTAAAGGTGGCTATTGGAGTTCACAGGAGGATGGGCCATGGAAGGTGAGGGAGTTTCAAAGGAAGTGGTGGTCCAGCCTGTGCTCACCTGAATAGCGCGATCGATCACTCGGTAGGCCATGGATGGAGCCACCATTTTAATCATGGCAATATCTAAAGCTGCCGCCTGTAAGAGGAGATGTGACGAGAGGGACAGACCTACGGGCAACATACTTGGAAAAGCCATCAGTTTCCCAAGAACAGAGACCTGAGGACCCGCTGGACCACAAACCCCCTAAGGCAGCCCCTGCCTGGTGCAAGGCATGTGGAAGACACAGGGGTGGAAACCTCAAGGGTGAACCAGGACGTTGTGAGATGTGGGCAAGTGCCAGGTCAAGGACAGTCTCGAATATGGGCGTCTTCCCAGCTGATGGGGAGTGTGATGCACACATAGAAGGTGGAATAGGGTAGTGGCTATGCTTCATTCAGGGTCACAGCCAGCACTGACTCTAACCTGATAGTGGGCTGAGGTCACCCAGGACTCCAAGACGCCCAGCTGCAAGGATCTACCCTGAGCATTCAAGTGAGGCCTCTAGATCTTCTACCATACCTGGCACTACAGTGCCAAGGAACAGGGAAGTTGAGTCTGGGTTGCCCTCCCCATTACTGAGGCCATAGTCTAGCGGCTGGAGGCTGCCCCATGGAGAGCTGGAGAAGGAGGGGTTAAGGTGGGCATCGTGCCTGGCCATTAGACGAACTCAGAAAGAACCATTTAAGGAATGTCACACTTGAAAATAAAGCTTCTCTTCTGGCTAATCCCCTTGCTTACTCTTAGTTTGTCTGATATCTGCACAGACGGAGTCTGAAGTCCAGGCCAGGATGTGGCTGAGGCCAGGGGGCTGTGTGGCCCTGTAAGGCCTGCTGCCTTGAGCCTAGAAATTCACCAGGTCAGTGAAGCAGAAAGTTGAGTCCTCTTTTATTGTAGCTTTTACATTTTTAGAAAACTGCCCAAATAGTCCGAAGTATAATTGAAGCAAAGTCATTAGTGGGAAGGGGCCAAGCTATTTCTCCATGGTTTGCTGAGTGGGGAAGAAAGAGGCAGTATCTATAGATTCCAAGGCTGCATTCCCTCACTGCAACCTCAGGACCTGCCATCTGTGAGGATCCTTGGCCTCCTACCTTATTTCCTGCCACGTCCATGAGGTGGGCAGCTTTCAACACCAGTAGCCGGGCCTGCTCAATCTCCACACGTGACTGGGCAATGTCTGCCAGGAGCGTGCCCTGCTCTACCAGGGGTTTCCCAAAGGCCACACGGGACTTCACCTGTGGACACAGGAGACACAGCAAGAGGCGTGGCGCTGGTGCCCTGCAAGGAGGTGGGTGGAAGCCCACACAGGAGAGGAAAGAGTGTGGACACGGGAGCAGGAGCTCATCTCCCACATGGCTCTCTAGCCATTTCCAGGGAGAAGATCCAGACACAGAACACATTCTTGTGCACTGCAGGGCTGGTAGCCGGTATCAGCATCGGTAGCTGCACAAATCACTTCCAGGAGTCCCTTTCCTCCAGTGATTAGCTCCCTCTGGGCAGGCCTGGTGCCAGGCAGGAGTTCATTCTGATCTGAGCCAGCGTTTGGCCCAGGGCTACTCTGGGAATTAGGTAGTGACTGCAGGCGAGGGAGGGCACCCTCTCCCAAGCGTGGGCCCAGCTTCACACCCAGGGCACCCTTGGGAGCAAAGTCCAGGTACCAGAGCCCCCTTGTGGGCAACTGTTACTGCAACAAGGATTCTAAAGTCTCAAAGTCCCAAGCAATCAGAAAAGATTACAAGGGATTTTTTTCTTTTTGTTTTTAGCAAAAAAACAATTACTATACAAATAATATCTCATGGCAGGAAAAGTATAAATTTTCAAACAAGAAAAAAAAAGAGCAAATAATAATCCCTGGTACCCCATCATCCAGTCAGTTGTGGTTATTTGGTGGCTATCCTTCCAGACCTTCTGTATGTAGACATACATATGCATGTTTCACAGAAATGGAGTCACACTCCACATATTGCTCTGTAGCCTGCTTTTTTTCATTTAAGAGTATATACTGAACATGTGTCTATGTCAAGAAATAGATTTCTAAGGATCATTTTGGAATTTCACTGCATTTCTGTACCAGGGTTCTGACCAGGCTCCAAGTGTTAGCCTTATAGGTTGTTCCCAGCCCTCTGCTGTTACAATCAGTGCTGTGGTGAACCTCCTGGCAGCAAATCATTTGTAGATTCCTAGTTACTGTCTTGTACCCAAATCCTGAGTGGAACTGCCATGTCACTGCTTCACCCCTTCTGAGAATTCTGACATGTAAGGTCAATCTGCTCTGTAGGAAGTCTGGTGTGAGTTCCACTGCAGGATGGGGCTAAAGTACCTACCCTCCCTGAGCCCTTAGAAAGGATCTTTTTATCTTCAAGAAAAAAGAACTGGTCAGGCCCAACTCAAAAGGGTGCAAATCACAGAAAGTGTGCTCAGTAATCAAATACATTGGACAACCTCTGTTCTTCGTAGTTTCTCATGAGACGTTTGTTTGGTCTCAAGGGTTTGCTTGACCTTTGTGATTTGAATTACCATTCCAAGCTCCCTTTTTTTGCATGAGCTTCCAACCTTTGAGGGGGTCAAAGCAGAATAAAGTTTTCTGGGCATGGAGAGGAGGGTGGTACAGCGCTAGATACCGGAACCCCAGGAACAAACGCCACCAACACGGATTCTCCCTTGTATCTGATTTTTTTTTTTAAACTGTAGTGTGTTATTACAAAGGCAACTCATGTTGTTTATAGAAAATATACATAGGGAACCCTGGAGATGAACACTGAAACTATTTTGCTCTTTATCATTTCATAGCTGAACATATGCCTCAATTTATGTATTTTTAATCCATTAAAAATACAACAGATAATTCAGCACATTGTATCTGATTTTTTAAAGATGAGTTAGTGGCAGGAACAGCCCTCAGCAGCCATGACCCTTTGGACCTTGGAACTTTGCCCTCTGCTGCCGCAGAGCCTGGGCCTTTTCCTTCTGATCACTTCAACAGAGTAAGGCCCATTCTGCTCTGAAATGCAAACTTCAGCAAAGTAGCAGGTGCCAGGCAAAGACAGTGACACAGCTTCATGGCAAGAATGTCACCTTTCTTCACCTAAGTCTGCTCACAGAAAATAGTTAGATTTGAGGTACAATAGCAAAACAGATGGGTGATTCTGGGTCAGACAAAGGTGCAAGGGGAGCACTCACCCGGGCCTTCATGAGCGCCAGGGCCCTCTCCGAGAACCCGATCAGCCGCATGCAGTGATGGATCCGGCCAGGACCCAGACGCCCCTGGGCGATCTCAAAGCCTCGGCCAGGGCCCAGGACCATGTTCTCCTTGGGCACGCGCACCTGCTCAAACAGGACCTCACCATGGCCACCTGAAAGACCCAAATGCTTCCCCCTGAGCAATCTGCCTGTTTCCTTCAGATGTGTTTATCCCTTGCCTCAGTTCAAGTCATCTGCTGGCAATATTCCTGCCCTTTATTCAGCCTCCTAACTGGGACATGGTTGAATGGGAAGGGATGGCAGGGAGCAGCCTATTTTACAATGTCAAATGAGTATTTGGCTATTACTTTTCTAAAACATAATGACTCCAAAACTAAAAGCCTTAGTAGTGTGTGACCCTAATGCTGTAGTGATCCTCTGGAACACTGGAAGTGAAAATGTGAGCAGCGTCAGCAGAGAGAAGGAGCCCTGCAAGAGGCCCTCCGGGCCTGGAGGCCAGCCAGCCCCGGGCAGTGCACGCTCTGCCTGCCGCTCTGTTCTGTGCAGCCCCTTATCTAGATTCTGCTTATCTTCTGAGTTTGGGAGAGAAAAAGTAAAAATGCCTGTTGGAAATTTGCCAGTGTGGTTGATGTTTATAGAAGTAAAAAGTAGGAATGTGTGGCCCTCCAAATATCACCATACCCTTAGAGGTGCTGCATCCTGAGATAAAGCAAGGGCTGCTCAAAGTTCTTTCCCCCCGCCCAGACCCACACACAGGGCTAACCTGGGGCGTCCTCCAGCCCATACACCGTGAGAGGCCGGATGATTTTTATCCCTGGGGTATCCATGGGGACCAAGAGCATGGACTGCTGCTGGTGGCGTGGGGCATTTGGGTCTGTTTTTCCCATAAACACACAGAGCTGGCAGCGAGGATCCAGGATGCCTGCCAGGAAAGGAGAAAGACAGACCCCCATCATCTGATGGCAGGACCATCAAATCTCTTCACAGATGCAGTTCTGGCCCAGGAAATCCGGAGCCACCAAGCAGATAGAGCTCCTTAGACTTCACATAACCAGAGGACTATGTGTAGGGTCTTGACCAGAAATAAGAGCTCTTGATTTTTGCTTTACTGAGGAATGAATCCAACATCATAAGAGCAATGTTTTTTGAAAGCACTGTGAAGACCTGAGAAAATGGAAAAGAGGCTGAAAACTGTTATTTTATCACTGGCAGCCTGTTCTGTTCTTTTCCCACAGGCAGTGTAAACATAATGGCTTTGAGCACGGGCTTCAGATCAGGCAAATCTTTTAACTCTGGATTCCCCACTTGCTAGCAGAGGGCTAGTACCTTAGGCAAGTGACTCGGGTTACTTCTCTGTCCTAGTTTCCTCTGCTATAAAATGGGGGTGATAATATTGGGGAGGTGAGGGCCATCCAGCACTCACGGAGAGGCCTGCAGAGTTAACATGGGCTGCACGGCGGGATGATCACAAGCCCTTCTGATGTGGCACGCCGATCTCCCAGCAGGCAGAAACCACTGAGGAAGTGACCTCCTGCCTTTCCAAAGGGAGATGCCCAGGGCAGAACAAAGAGGAGGGTGGAGTGAGTGGAGTTCCCAGAGCATGTCACACGCCTCATCTGTGACCCACACAGAACCTCTGGCTCTCCTAGGGTGTGCTGCCTCTGTTGGGAGCACAGAGACACAATCGCCTTTGCATCAACTGGAAAAGAAGCTGGTTCCTACCATGTTTCCCAGGCAACAGCAGGGCAGAGAGAGACATGCTTATCAGTACAGACCCACTGAACTGTAACTGAAACATGAATTTCAGGCCAAATACCTGAGATCCACCACTTATGGCCATTCACGACATAGAAGCCATCCTCCTCTCTGATGGAAGACTCAATGTTGGTGGCATCTGATGAGGCAACCTGAGTGAGAGCGCATTGTGTTTAGAGCTGGCAAGGGTCCCACATTCCCTGTGTGGTGGAGACTAGATGGGGCCTGGGAGGGTCTGGCCAATGAGGAGCCCCTCTCGGGGTGCCCCAGCAAGGTACCTGGGGCTCGGTCATAGCAAAACACGAGCGAGCCTTTCCCTCCAGCAGTGGAATCAGCCAGCGGGCCTTCTGCTCCTCGGTGCCATAGCGCACCAGAAGCTCCATGTTCCCGGTGTCTGGAGCAGAACAGTTAAATATCTGAAAAGGAGGAAAAGCATAATGGTGACTCCCATATCCATATTTGGAACTTCAAATACCCAGGAAACATGAACCAAGGCCCCTTCCAAGGTAGAGGCCCTCTGACACCCTGGTGGAAGTTTTTCCTCTCCCTAGAGAAATGCAAAGACACATAGCAGTTCGATTATCTCAGGGACTCCTGAAGCCCAGCATGGACCTCCTCTACTGACAGAAAGGAGCCTGCAGCCAGGCGGCTGGAGACTCATAGAAGTCAGCCAGGCCTGTGCCTTGCATGACTCCTGCCTTCCCAGGAGGGCTCCCACTCCCAAGCTGTGTTCTTGCTCTGGTGACAGCCACCTGCGCACAGCTGTCCTCCCTCAGTAAAGATTTAAGTCTGTTACCAGTGTTCCTAAGTCTGTTATCCAGCACAAGCTAGAGGGGGCCCTGCCAGTGTAGGAGGGTGACTGACATCTTACAGAGGACTAGGACATCCTTGCATGCCAAGTAGAACTTTAAAGAAGGTACCTCGGGAGCATATAGAGACATCCCCATGAGTTCACACAAATGTGTATATTCGACGTTGGTCAGTCCTGCTCCATATTTTTTCTCGGGATCGGTCTCCAAGGGTAGAAAAAGGTTCCAGAGTCCTTCGGCTTTGGCTTTCTCCTATCACAGGGGAAGTAAGTCAGGGAAACTAACACAAGCCAAGACTGATCCTGACAAAGAACAGCAGGTAGTTCCATTATTAGCTACAGTGGCGTCACTGGGTGTCACTAGGATAGGCACAGCTGGCCCTTTAGCTTTGGCATATGGATTCTTTAAAGAGAGACTTTATTAATTGATGTATATCATACTGTTTCAATTTTACATACTTCAAGTATGCATAAAATAAGCCCACCTGCCCCAGGGTTATAAATCACAGGCATGGCATTCCTCTGCCTAGGCTGAACTATCTGGCCAAGACATAGTCACACAAAGAGCAATGATATGAAAACTGCGAAATCTAGCACTGGCTTTATGACAATGATGGAAACCAAAGATAATTCACCTCTACGCCCATCTCATCACTGCCTGGGGAGGGACAGATGTGTCCAGGGGGTGAGCTGAGGTTCTGCCATGGTAATAAGGTCTTATGACTCCCGTCGGCTGCTTTACCTTGAGCTCTTCGACCAGCAGGGAAGGGGTCCACCTCTCTGCTGAGGCCTGGTGACTCTGTAGCTCTGGCTCAGCAGGGTACACATGCTGCTCCATAAACCGCTTTAGCCGCTGATACAGCTCCTTGACTGTTGGGGAAAGGCCCTCTGGAGAGAAAACCAGAGCTCCCTTTGAGGTATGAGCTGGGGAAGATTCTGTAAAGGGGATGTAGCTCCTTGTGCCTGGGGTGCTCAACAGGGACTGTGGACCGGCCCGCGTGTGGTAGGACCTCCCAGATGGTTTTGTGGCTGGCATCTCTTTGAAAACCCGGAACCCTTCTTTGACTGCAAAATCCCATGCCAGGTTAGACATAAATTCAGTCAGCTTTCCGCTTTGTTCAGCAGTTGCCGAGCTTGCTTGTCCTGAGTAGAAGCAAAGAAAAAACAGTGATTACTCCCAAACAGCCTAATGATAATGCTAACATAGGATAATATTGTTATATCAGTAGCTACTACCATTTGCTAAGCACTTGCCACATACCAGACATGGTGCTGAGTGCCTTACTATGTGTATTATTCTGGCTCATTGAATTCCTGAAGCAATACCACTGTTTTGATTACCACTTTAGAGATGGGAATCTGTGTCGTAGTGAGGAGACGCACCCAAGCTTACAGTAAGGGGCTGGGAGCCAGAGTTGAAGCAGGAGGCCTGCTCCCTGCCCTCTACCTCTTTTCCTAAAGAAACTAAATCAAATCAGGGACTTCAAATCACTTCAGCTGTCACCAGGGAGCCATAGAAAGCCCTGCATTACCCTAGACTGCCCCTGCTCCAAACTGGTAACAGTGTCACAAGTGGCTGGATTCGTGGCCAGTTTCTGGGCATCATTTTGTATAGAACACCATCACCAGTGTCATAAAACTCACTCTAGTCATGCTCGCAATGGTTTTTTTTCACTTTTTTAAATAAGTGCATCAAGACATTTCTATAAAAGATATTTTTTAAATTAAGGTACAATGTACATACACCCTCTTTATAAAGAGAACAATTCTGTGAGCTTAGTCAGGTAACCACCACTACCATCAAGATGCAAAATATTCCCACCATCCCCAAATTTCCAAGGTGTCCCTTTGTACTCAGCCCTTTCCCCCAGCCCCTGGCAAAACCAATCTCTGTGCTTACAGTCTGTCTTTTCTGGAGCATCACATAAACATGTGCGTCGCAGGGGACATGCTCTTTTCTGCATGCTTCCCTCACCCAGTGTGCTGCATCTGAGATCCATCTTTGTTGTGTTTGTACTATCTCCTCATGTTGTCTTTGTACTAGAGCCTTCTTTACAGCCAGCTCTCCTGACATATTTTTAGTATTTCCATGTTCTAAAGAGACTGCTTTCCTCATTCTCTCTGTATCAATAAATGGATCTTTGCAGAGGGCTGTTTTTCATCTGGCATCTGCCATGGGCCACTTGTCAAAAGCCATTTTCATGCCACTTTGGTGTTAAAAGTATTATGCTATTCCTTGCAAATCAGGAACCAAATTCATTTGCTATTGAGCAGAGAATGTAGATCACTGGCCCTCAACAAGTCACTACTCAGCCACTTCTAGGAGCTGGTAGGGACCCAGCCCCAGGGGTCAGTCAGGAACCAGACAGCCCCTTTCATTGTGTCACTGGTGCACAGTGAGGGCCACTGAGCACAAGGGGCTACATCCTCTCCTCCTCACTCAAACTGTACCTGCCACATGGAAGGGAAGTTATCCCCCCCCTTATACTCACAGTTATTTATAATGATTTGCTTTTTCTAACAGAGAATACAAAGTGTTTTCTTAATTTTCTTCTTAATTGGATCTCACTCTCAAAGTGCTGCTTTCATTGTTTCTGGAAAGGCCAATTATTTGAGCTTGGGTTGACTTAAAACCATCACCTCCATATAGTTTTCTAAATGTGGTCCCAGCAGAAGAGACTACATCACTTACTGTCCTCCTAAGAAGCAGTCACAAGCACTTTTTTTTTTCTGGAATTTCAGTAGCCATCCCCAAGAGACCTAAACTTTGGCGTCCACTTATTAAGGAAGGAACGTGATAGTTGGGATGGGCTGGTACAGACTGTAAGTCAGTAAATGGTCACTGTTCTCCCCACCCAATCTAGTGAGCTGAAGTCTCCCACAAATGACACCAGAAAAAGAGAATGCCTGTGGGCCAAATGCTCCTTCTCTAAACCCCCTTTCAGGGCAGTACCAAATATCTCAGCTGTTCAAGTAGAAAAATAATCTTGACAGCTAATTAGAGAAGACAAATGTAGTGTAACAATATTTGTATTCATAGAGTGGATATTTTGTTTGTTTCCTTCACTGAATGTTTTTATACTATTTTTTCAAAAAATGGATTTTGCTGTTTTTATGTGAGAAAACTAAGCCACTTCCTCAGTGCGTCTGGCTGGCTTCCTGGGAGGGAGGGAAGGGAATGCACAGTCAGGATCAGAGGAATAAAGGCCTGAATGGACAGCACTTCTCGTCTTCTGTGTGGTGGCAAACACATGGGGTGTTTTATCTCCAAGCCAGGATTGTTTACAGGATCTTAGAAACTGTCACACAGCTTCCTGATACTCAAATTGAAGGCAGTCCAGTGGGGTTTACAGGTATAGCGATTGCAGAATGGATAATTCAACATCTATGCAGCTATCCTCAGGCACTGGAGCAGAACCCAGCAAGAACTCAGAAGCAACCCAGAAAATGTCTACAGGAAATCAGGCCTATTCATCACCTGATGGATCTAGCAGCTGTTCTGCTTATGAAGTGTTTTTGGCTAGCTTTCACTGCAAAGCCATAACAGAATCCGGAAGTGGTGGTTTAGGGCTAATGCTGTCCAGAGGAAAGGAAAATACCGTTTCCAGGAATTCCTGCCTATTGAAATCCCTATTATCTGACCAGGGAGGGTTAAACTAGAAGTCCTCTGGATGCTGATTTTCCTCTGGACAGTATTGCTCATGCCTGTATTATCAGTACCACCTGGCAGAGTAAAGACTTCACTAGGGATGAATGACGGATCAATTCTCCTACTGCATCTGCCTTTCTCAGAAGAATATGCAGTCAGGCTGAGGGTGACATGCTGCCAACAAGCTTAGGGTATTGATGACCCTGAATCCAAGAGGTCCCCGGAGTACTAGCAAACACACTGCAGGGCTTCTTTCTACTAGTTTTTTGTTCTGATTTCTCATTTTGGGAAATTTCACAGTTATACAAAAGTAGAGAGATGAGTATAATGAACCTGCAGGTTGACTATCACTCAGCTTGAAAAATCATGGAAGCATGGCCAATCTTGTTTCATTCTGTGCCACTCCCACCCCACTGCCCGGGATTTTTCTGAAGGCAATCCCAAACATCAGATAATTTCCCATCTAAATACTTCATTTATGTCTAAAAACAAAGACTTAAAAAATACATAATATCCTTATCACACTTAAAAAATGTTAACTATGTCTCAATATCATCAACTATCCAGTTAGAATTCAAGTTTCATTGACTTATTTAAAAAATCTTTATAATTTGGTTTTTTCAAATGGGAATCTAAACAAAGTCCAAACCCTATAATTGGCTGATGTGTCTTTCAGAACCTTTCAATCTACAAATTCCCTTTTCATCTTTTTTTCCCCCTTGATACCTGTTGAGGAAACTGAATTGTTTGCTCTGCAAAGTGTCTCATAATCTGGATTTTGTGAGTGGCCATGCCTTCATGGCGCTGTTTAACATGTTCTTCTGGACCTGTTTCCTGTACATTGGTAGTTAGCACTGGAGGCTTGGTCAGATCCAGGTTCAACTTTTGGGAGAAGCATCAGGAGGTACATAATATCTGGCTCTCTTGGTGGTGTCAGCACCATTGATGCTTATTTTCCAGACCCATTAATGCGTTCAAGATGCCAAATCAGTGATACACTAATTCTATCATTCTGTCCAGGATGCTTCTCTAGAAGTTCCTCTCATCAATTATTTGGTTAGCCTGATACATACATAGTTTATATAGGAAAGGCAGGGTAAATGATTGACTTTTTCCCCCCTTACCAATTTTCAGAACAACAAGTTGCTTCCCTAGCATCCTCTAAAGTCACTAATGAGACTTCTTCTCTGTTTAATATCAGTCTTTACTCCTGGATTTAAACGTACTTGTATTCCCACCTATTTCAGCCCTCATCCTTACTGGTGCTCAAAAATGCTTGTCATTATCAAGGGGGCTTCTGAGTTCTTCAGGATGAGCCTAGTAGTTTTCGACAATTTCCTGCTTTCTGGTACAACATGGTCCAGGGGTCATCTTGTAAACCTCCTGCCCTAGACCTGAAATCAGCCACTTCTCGAAGGAGTCCAGGTTCCTTTTGGTGGGAATGGAATTTAGAGATTATAATCTAGGTAACTAGAGGTACTTGACACTACTGGGTTAGTCACTATTTCTAGGTCTTTCTGGAGATGATTCTATTTGCTTTCTTTCTACTTGCCTTCCTATCCACGTAGGATGTAAACTTTAATCTGCCTTTCTATCTTCTTAAATAATTTGGGATATAGATTATTTCATTTGCCAACCTACAAAATTTAGAATAAAAACTAATAACACTGTACCATCCCCACATATATATCTAAACACTTTACAGGTGATACATGTATGTACACACTCAACTCAACCAACCATCATTTCTAAGCAACAGTACTTTTTTTCTTCTCAAAAGTTCACATTTACAAGATAACAAGCTAGTTTAATGAAATTGTTTCCCATGTAGGTAAAAGCACCATCAAAGAAAACAAAGTAACCCTTCTTCAGCAGTCCTCTTGCTGGACAATTTGACAGTATCAACAAATATTTTAAATGCACCTACTTTTTTTTTTTTTGGTACCATTAATCTACAATTACATGAGGAACATTATGCTTACTAGACTGCCCCCCTCATCAAGTCCCCCCCACAAACCCCATTAAAATCACTGTCCATCAGCGTAGTAAGATTAAATGCACCTACTTTTAACTGAGCAATTCTAACTCAGAATATATCCATACATGTGTGGAAAAGGATTTTCACCACCTACTATTTGTGACTGCAAAAATCTGCAAATAATCTAAATATACACCAATAGGGGAACTAGTTAAATAAATTACAGTATATCCAGATAATGGAATGCACTCTGGAAATCAAAAAGAATGAAATAGGTCTGTACATGCTCTCATGGAAATGTTGTCAGGCAGCTGTGTCGTGTCTGGGGAGGTCTCTCCCTGCACACCAGGTAAAACCTCAACCTGGGCAGGGGAGGGTTCTTGACTCTGACGGAGAAAGAATTCACGAACGGGTCAGATGAGGGTAGGTGAGGAAGGAATTCATTCAAGTGAGAGTATTAGTGAATGGCAGCAGCCACACAGGCAGCAGAGAGCAAGGATGGACAGAGGGAGGAGAGGCAAGTCCACTGAACCCCTGCCCGGCACAGGGAAGATCCCTTGCCAGGGTCCCCTGGAGTCCAGTGTTCGCCCGAATCTGCACAGCCTGGGAACTAAGCCACTACCACCCCAGGACTTGAGGGAGCCACAGAGCACTGGATGGAGTGAGATGATATTCTGAGAACTTCCCAAGGGCAAAGAAAGGAGATTTTCAGGCGGGCTACTATAGAGCATGATCATACAGCTGCAGTCCTGTCTGGGTCACTGAGGCGATGGAAACTTACAAGCCTAAATCAGAGTTCTCAGTAGCCCTTCCCTACCTGTCTGAAGTAGAACAGAGATACAGAGACTTGTGCTTATGTCTAGAAAATTGAATGAATAATGAAGTAACAGAGACGCTTACCACTGGAAGAGCACAGAGACTAAACACAGCAAGTTGAGCAGTGAGAAGGCTTTATTTAAGGCAAAGTACACACTCGAAGAAAGGGGAATGTGGGCAATCTCAGAAAGGAGGCACACTTAAAGGCTTAGGATTCGTGTCTTTTAAGGATTTCAAGAATGGGACAAAGGGCAGTGGGGGAGTGGGGCATAGTATTGACATGTGGTCTCATAATATCTATTTCCAGTGAGAAACATTATGTCATTATCCATAGTCAGTCCTCTAGATACTCTCTAAGGTAAACTTAACACAAGGAATTTAGTGATCCTGTTCTTCTCCAAGATAGTGGTTACCCTCAAGCACTGGGAACACACCATTTAGGACTGCTTGTCCTGCTTTAACATAGGGTCAGTTATTGACTAATTACCATAAAATGTGTTAGGAATCCTACCTCCTCACTCCCCAATCTCCAAACTGGAATCTTAGCCTTAAGATGGGAGTCCCTCCTGTTCTTACAATACTATTTTTATCTTGGCATTTTTCATTATAGGCAGGAAAATGTAATCATGATGCTTGTCCCATGTCCCTGCCCTACACCTCAGAAAGGTCTCTACTGAAACACTGTGAAGTGAAAAAAAGCAAGGAATTTGCCTTACATAGTTGTCAAATATGTATATATGATAATCATATCATATATACATATATATATCATATTCTATATATGCACACAAATATTTCATAGGAATACTTAAGCATAAAAAATTTAAAAATCAAGGTACTGAAAACACATTAGGATGATCACATTTTTATAAATTTTGTAGAGAGAAAGAAGACAGATGTACAGAAAAAACTGGGGACCCAAGAAACTCTTAATGGTAGTATTTATTTTAAGGAGTGCTGCTAAGAAAAGAAAATATATTTTAATTTCTCTATATGATTCGATTCTTATCATGTATGTTTTTACTTTAAAAGTTTATTTTAATAAAAAAACAAGTTTAAATATTTTAAGGAATACATATATGATATATTCTTAATGACAAATGGTTGAACTAACTAAATATTATAGAATTCTGGCTAAAGCAGTCCCTCCAAAGCCCTTGGCTGCAGGAGAATTTCCAGGGGGAGAGGCTGGTTGGCTGTGACCCCGCCCCTCAGGCTGGTTCTCGCGGGCTACCCCGTTACCTGTGAGCGAGCGCTTGTAGACTCCCTGTAGGATCGCGGCCAGGCGGAAAAAGGAGAAAGCCATGTAGAAGTTCCAATTCTCAATGGGAGGAATTCCCATGTGCTGACAGTACATCCTGAAATACTCCTCTGCAGTTGGGATTCCCAGCTGAGCAAAATCACAGTCTCTCAAACCTGAGGTGACAGACAGAGCCATCCCTGGGCAGTCACTGACCCCATACTCCCCTGGGGCCACAAGTATTTAAATTATGAACCTTACTTCCTTTCTTGAAAACTGGCTTCACAGCTAGTTCAAAGGGTTAGCTGATTATTTCAACAGCTCTTCCTTCCTCAGATGGCTGGGATCCAGGCACAAAGCTATTATTCACAAACTGGCTTCTAAAAGATCCAGACTAAATTGGCAGGAGAGGAAGAAATAAGGGGCCTCCAGTTCCATCTGGACCACAGTTCAGGGTGGACGCATACTACTTCCTCTCAGCCATTTGACAAAAAATGGTATTGAAAGAAAAAAGCCTGCCAAATACGGAAAAGGTAAGTACAAGAAAGAAAAAATCTGACTGATTTGCTTCATTTGTAACATCTTCATGGTTTAGAAGCATGTAATATATTCCATGCCTAGGAATTTATCCTAGGAGTATACTTTATCTATAGGCAAAGACATTACTACACAGATGTTCACTGCATGTTTTATAGAGGCAGTGGGGTAGTAATATTAAAAAATTGGAAACAAATTAAATATCAAATAGGAAACAAATCAAGTGTCTGGTTTAAGGTAACTGTATACAATAAAATCCTATGCTGTCATTAAAAATGATTCTGTAGAAGAAATATTTAATGGCATGAAAACATGTCCAAAGTATGTAATTTAAATGAAAAAAGGCAATTCATAAAATCATATACTCATATTTTCATTTAAACGAATTTATGTTTAATAGGAAAAAAGATAAGAATGAAGAGATGACAAGATGCAAATGTTGCCAGTGGTTCTCTCCAGGATTACTGATTTTATTTTTTATTATATTAATCTAAAATTTTTTTCTTTTTTTTTATTAACGTATGATTGATATACATTCTTAGGAAGGTTTCACATGAAAAAACAATGTGGTTACTACATTTACCCATATTACCAAGTCCCCACCCATACCCCAGTGCAGTCACTGTCCATCAGTGCAGCAAGATGCCACAGATTCACTATGTGCCTTCTCTGCTACACTGTTCTCCCTGTGATTCTCCACACCATGTGTACTAAACATAATACCCCTCAAACCCTTCTCCCTCCCTCCCCACCTGCCCTCCCACATCCCTCCCCTTTGGTAACCAACAGTCCCTTCTTGGAGTCTGGGTAACTCTAAAATTTTTAAATAAACTTGTATTTTTTTATTTAAAGACTTAAATAGGAATTAGTTGTGTGAAAACCTAAAAGGCACTATACACAGCTCCTTCTCACTTAAAATACATTCTACACCCACTCCTCCTCCCTGTTCTGACAGGAATACATTCCAACTGAGGTTTCCACCGAAACCACCAGGACCTCAATTTCACGTGCCAGCCCAGTCACAACTGCTTTTTTTTGTCCCAAATGCTTTGAGAATGGAGCCAGCTGGATCACCCTCCCCAGGCAGCAGTTCCTACCTTTTATTACGGGAAAACTGGATGGCAGGTAGTGAGCCAGGCAGCTGAAGGCCACATCCGCAAGAGGGTCGCCTAAGGTAGAAAGTTCCCAGTCAAGGACAGCAAGCACCTCAGCCTTTTCTGGATGAAAGAGCAGGTTGTCCAGCCTGAAGAAGCCACAGGAAAAATGGAAAGACAGTCTAGGCAACTAAGCACTAGGGTGTACTCCATGCTGGGCATCTGCCACTTGCCCTCCAGATGCACCCCAACCCAGCCCCTCTGTGCCCCGAAGCCTGAGCTGCATGGGCTGTGTCCCCTGGCTCCCATGCCCTCTGGCTCCCTTGGGCTCAGCTGACAGGGACACCAGCAGGAGATGGGAAGGGACCTGGTTATCCACTCCCCCAGCTCCCTCTCAGCAGACGGCTGAGGGAGGCTGAATCCAGCTAGGCCAGAAAAGGTGCTGGGCTCCCACCCAGTCCTCTCTCGTGGACACACCTCTGGAGCCCTGAGCCATCCGGAATGAATCCAGCTACCCAGAAGGTGCCACACTGGAGAGACCATGTGGGAAACCACCAAGGAACAGACAGGTTCCCCAAGCCTAGCGTGGGAGCAAGCCTTCAGGCAATTCCAGCCCCCAGCTTGAAATCCATCCCAGTTGAAACGAGCTCTCCTGTCCCCAGACTGCAGATCTGTGAGCAGAATAACTGCTGTTGTTTTTCACAGCCATGCAGTTTTGGAGTTTGCTATCTGGTGGTAATACCTGGAGCACAGTCCTGTGCCTGCAGCCCTGGGGCGGCTGACACCCACTGCTGCACAAGCCAGCCCCATCATAAAGGATGACCTGGCCCAAAATGTCAGTGGTGCCAAGGCTGAACCCTGCATTAAAGGGCCATGGACAGGGAGAGCCTCTGTAATGGGAATCATTCTCAACTATAAATTGGGCTAAAACCAGCTGCTTAATTTCCCCTTCAAATGCCCTTGCCATCATCTTTCACACATAGACATTTACCGCCCCCCATCATGGCCATGGCTACCTGAAGTCCCCATGCACCACCGTGGTCTTCTGTTGCCTGGGAAGATGGAGTGGCAGCCATTCAATGAGGCTCTCCATCACTGGGATGGTGCTGGTTTCTGAGGCTCGGTATTGTTTAATCCAGGTTTGCACTTGGCGTGGAATATAGTCCCCTGAGGGAAAGAGGATTAGAAGATGGTGTGTCATGCCAACAGACTCCAAAGGTTTAAAAAGTTAATCAATGCAGTAAAACTCTCTGTAAAGCTCTGTTTACCTGTTGCCCAAGGTGGAAGTCACCAGCTGTCTTATGTTGGCTCCATCAGTGTGATCTGGGCATAGTTCCTAGCCACATGACCTCCAAGCCTGATCCCTGGCCCTCTCAGAGATCCTAAGCTTCCTAACAGCCTTTAAAATCCCTTTTGGCTAAACAGTGGTTGGCTAAGAACATGGACTCGGACCAGAATGCTGGGACTCTGATGCCAGCTCTGTCAGTCTCTAGCTTTGTGACCTCAGGCAGGCTACCTAACCTCTCTGTGCCTTAGTTTTTCCACATGGTCTTTACCGAGTTGTTGGGAGGATAAAATATGTGAAGCCCCTGGAACTGTTCCTGCCATGTAGTAAGTATATATGAGTACTTGTTATTAACAGTCAGTTGTTTGCTAAGAAAACCAAGAAATACCACAGTTGAGGAACTTGGAAGTCACACCTGGGACTGGACACTGGAAGGAGACCTGGAGTCAACTTGGCTCACTGTCAAGGTCTTGAAGTGACTGAACTGCTCCAAACTTCCCTTGCTTCTCCTGTATGAGTCATTGACACCTAAATTCCACAGAACGTCATGAAGGCTAAACGAAATCTTCATATAGCATGCCAGATTCCGAGCTGGCACAGAAGGCTGCTCAATGAATGGTGGCCATTATTACTGTTGCTATTATCAATTGTCAACTGATGATTACTAATTGTCACTATTAATAATAATTTATCAACAACATGTCAGGTCTCTGGCTCTAAGCAAAGCCCTCACCCCTCATTTAAGAGAAAATTGGTCCCCAGAAGCTGAAGGGCTTGAAGATAGGAAGGCAAGCTCCTTCTGTGGAGTCCACTGCAGGCTTGGAGAACCTGGATGCCTGCAGAGGATCCAGCTGGGCTATGAGATGGAGATAAAAATCCACAGGAATTTAGCCCAAAACAAATCAAGCCTTTGGAACTAGCTCCCAGTTTACAGAATCACAGGAAACAGAAGAGAGTAGTAAATGAAACCATAAGGACACAAACCAATAGTTGACACAAATCTCTAACACAAGTGACTTGAACTCTTAAAAATTTCATTTAAAAAAAACAGGTAGGGGGGGCACTATTTTAGATTCCTTGATTGGATCCTGATTTTGGAAAAGAAAAGCCTCACTTATAAAAGATATAAGAGGTATAGTGAGGAAATCTGGGTTTTAGATATTATGGGAAAATGGTACATTTTCTAGAATGTGATAGTGGTATTGGGGAATATTCTTATTTTTAGGAACTGCATACTGAAGTATGAAGACTGTAGTGTCAGGGTCTCTACAACTTTGTTCATCATATATATACAGAAAGAGATAAGCAAATATGGCAAGAGTTAACCATTGTTAAAATTAGTAGCAGCACATATAGTTATTTGTTGTACTATTTCACGGCTAAGTTTGAAAATCATCATAAGAAGTCAAATACAAAAGCCACAGAGCTGAGCCTGTGTGTTGAAAGGAGCCCCTAGGGAAAGTCTCCTACAGGGATGTGGGTCTCCTACCCCTACACACCAAGCCAGCGCTGCACACATCCTCTTCTCAGGGCACGCAGGTGCATCTGTCCCTGCAGTGCCAGCTCTACTGCCACTGGTCTCTAGCAGGCCCACCAAGGCCCTGAACCATCCTTCCCAAAGTAGCCTGTCCCTCTGGGATGAGAAAAAAGGACTGTGTGCTCCCTGCAGGCCCTTGACGGAAAGGTTCTTGGTGATAATTAGACTGTACCAAAAGGATCTTTATCAAAAATCCCTTTGGGTTAGAAATTATGTTTAAGTGCTCTTTTTTTTTATTTAAATGTGATCTCTTAAATAGGTAATACATCCATATGGCTTGAAACTCAAGTGGTGAAAGGGAGTGCTGTAAAGTCTTTCTCCCATCCCTTACCCAGTCATGCAACCCTCTTCCCCCAAAGGCAGCCCACATGACCAGTTTCTTAGGAATTCTTCTGGAGATAATCATCACTTTTGCAAGCAAACATTTAAATTTATTCAAATATTAAAGTTTACTGAAATACATCCCTTTTACACAAATGGTAGTATCTATCTATATGTCACCAATACCATGGGCTCATAAGATAATCTGAGAATTCCAGGTTTCTTGAAAGGGAAGATCTGATGCCTCTAACGCTGGATTAGTGAGCCTGCAATATGATGAAGCTGCTTTATGCTGTAAGGCTCAACACATAGGCAGTGGCCCAGGAGGCTGGCCTGGCTCATGTGAAATCACATTAGATTTCTGCTTTGTTTCTTCATGCTAATAGTTCAGTGGAAAGAGCATCACACAGTCCACTTTAAAAGTAAAAAGAGGACCCACTTGGCACATGGGGAACCCTCCATTAGTTGTTCGCCAGGGTAGGATGGATGTCACACTGCCTATTACTTCATCTGCCTGAGACTTTATTTTCACTCAAAATGCTGAGACACCTGCCACCTCACTTGCTTGTCACATCAGCCCTGTGAGGGAGGAAGGGCAGGGCTTTTTTTAACCATACCTCTACTTCTGAGAAAACTACAACAAAATAATGTGACTAGCCCAAGATCACCATCAGATTAGCATCTGACTTCTAGTGCTGGGCTCTTTCCATCTTAAGACAAAGAAAGAATCAGTACAGGCAACATCCCTTGTCTTTGCCTATTGGCCCTTTCACTGGTAACTAGGGCTACCAGATAAAATACAGGATGCCCAGTTAAACTTGAATTTCATATAAACAAATTGATTTTCAGTGTAAGTATTTCCCAATGAGACTGCCAAGATGGGGAGATTCCCCACTGAGTTGGTATCTCTATGCAACATGTTAGAACGTGGTGGTGTTGTGAGGGTGGATATGTATCTGGCTGTACTTGGAAGGGGTGAAAAATCCCCTCACTTTGGGCTGGGAAGTCAGCAAACCTGTTATATTAGAGCAAAGTGTCTCAAACTGATTAGTTCTGGGGACTCATGTCACAGTGCCTATTGAGTGGTGGAACTTTGGGTAACTTGGCAGAAATGTTAGGAAGTTTATGTACACTGGACACATATTATAGTCTTTGGTATGGTCCTACATAAAACAGGCACATTTTGGCTCAACAAAGAAGAAAATAGAGTTTAGCTGAGAGATTCTCTTTGATTATAGCCAGGAATCCTTACTGGTCAAGAATCAAATAATCTTGAACTCTGCAAGGGAGACAATGTGAAATTCTTTGGCTCATGCTAATGTTTCTGCATGTAAAAGCACAGAGACAATTGTGATGGTGGTTATAAAACTGTGTGCCAAAATTCACAGACTGCCACGCTTCAAAAAAAAAGAAAGAAGAGAAAAGACCTGACAATACCAAATGCTGACAAGGATGAGGAGCAACTGGAATTCTCAGACATTAAAAAAACAAAAGCAGAAACTATACAAACTAAACACCTTGGCATAATGGCATTTGAAAAATCTATCCCTGTTGAAAGAATATTTAGGGGGAAAGGAGAAAAACAGAAGTATTTTAAATACCCTTAGTTAGGATTGGAAAAAATAAAACATGAAATGGTCTAGCAAGATAAATTTGAGGAGAAGATTCTTAAGTCCATGAAGGTATTTATCCAAGGACAAAATGTGTATGTAAGTGACACCTCCATTAAAATGAAACTGGATTTCCAAGGAGAAAACTATTAAGCCCACTTAACATTTAGCAAACACTTGGTGTGTTAACGTCCTGACACCATGCAAATCCTGCAGGCAGAGGCAGCAGCAAGGACACGATCAGCATGGAACACGAGTAGCCTTGTGCTCACCGTGTTTCCCGTAGTCTTCCAGGCCCACAGCCTTGAGGTCCACACTGTGAATTTTGCAGAGGACTCTGTTCATGGCAGTGTATATGGCCCGCCTCTGGCTGGGCTCCAAGCCTGGCAGAGAGGGGTCTTTGTAGATGACGCCTGGACAGTACTCCATCACATAGAAGGGGGTGCCGATGACCCTGAGAGGGACATAGACAGGGTGTTTCAGTGGCCTAATGTGGCAGGCAGTTGGTCATGGCACTGCTCTACTGTCCTGTATATGCTCTGAGTGCTGGGGAAGGAGTTCAGACCCAGAGTCCTGGACATTTCCTTTCCCTGTGCACATAAGCCCAAGGGGTTAGAAGCACCCCCTCCCCAAACCGCACACAGCCTGCCTACACTTCTTTGCCAGAATGCCTCTCTCCTCTTCTGTTCACTGGTAGAAGCCATCTGAATGGGTTTCAGTGTGATAATACAGGAAAACAGCATGGTGAGAGGAGGGCCCTGGAGTCATATGGAACCAGGTTTAAATACCAACTGTGCCTCTTCCTAGCAGTGTGACCATGAGAGACTTATTAAACCTCTCTGGGCTTTGTAAAACTTCAAGGGGTAGTTGTAAATATTATATGGGAAGCTAATATTATATGGAGTGCCTGCCACATGTGTCTGGTTCCAGTGAGGGATCAGTAAATATCCCTTCTTATTACTGGTGTTATTTTTATCATCCAGTAGTTTGAATGGCACATTTACCACAACTGTACTTTTAAAATGACACACCATGTCATTAATCCATTTTTTAGTTATTACTAGAAATGGATTGACTACTTTAATAAGCTGTTTTGAAAATTCTACCATTATAACTGTTGCCCTGACTTGAACATGGGCTAGATATTTAATGTATTATTAAATTACTGTTAGTTATCTTCATCGGAATAATGCTATTGTGGTTATGAAAGAAAATGTTTTTATTCTTAGGAGAAATAACAACTTGAAAAGGTTCAGCCAAAAATAATTTTTATATATAGAATATACTTATTAATTTTTAAATATATATAATTATATAATTATTCCTATTAAAATTATTTTGTGTGCAATACACATATACACATATATAAACATGTTAACAATGTTTTAATCTGGATGAAGAGCCCTTTATGCTGTTTTTTTCTTTCAGTTTTTCTGTATGTTTCAAAATTTTCATAATTGGAAAGTTGGGAAAAAGAGGCAGACTCAAAAAGCATTTTTTACAAAGCAATTTAAGTACAGTTTAGAAAGACCCCCCACAAAAAATTAACAAAAACAAGCAACATGGAACTACATGGATGCATATCTTTTAAATGTTAAAAAAAGATGTTTTCTACCTGTTCTCACAAAAGGAGGTTATTTCTCTCTTAGGATAACTTCAAGACCTGTGAACTTCCCAGGAGGCTGCTAGTCTCTTTCCTCCCTGACCCAAATTGCATTTGTCTTCACCAAACTGGAATTTCAGTTACCACATGGGCTTTTCTCTTCTGTAGCTTGAATATGCAATAGAAAAAATAAATTTGAACATTACCCTGAGTCTTCACAAAGGCCAAGAACTGTGGGGACAGGTACTCCAGCATTTGCAAGGGCTTTCATTACCCTGCCAGAACAAAGAAAAATGAGTGATACTGCTGGCTGAATGGATGAGATTTTCTTGAAATAATTTTTCTGATTTAAAATTAGTACATGAAGAAATTAAGATGAATTCTAAAAAATATTCGATGGACCCAAAAGTAGGCAAGAAAAACAAAAAACGTGGGAAAAACAAGTAGCAAAACTATATACCTAATCAAACATACCAATAATTACATTAAACTAACTAGACTAAACATATCGATTGAAAGATAGAAATTGTCATACTGGATAGAAAATTCAGAGAGAGATGGAGAGCAAGTGAGTGACCAAGCGAGAGAATGAACTGTGCAGGTGACATTATTTGAGCCTCTTCATTCAGCCATACCTAAAAGATTTTAAATTATGAAGCAAATAAATTTTGTCACCTCTCCTCCTTTTCAATACTTAAGTCAGGCTAGGTGGGTCTCTATCATTTGCAACTAACATGCCAGCACACATGACGATGGGAAACATTTAGGTTGTGTTCCTTTCCAATATTTTTGTTTTAATGCATAAGTGTTTTTAAAAAAATAGTTAAGATAGTACTATGTATGGTTTGTATGTTAAAATTTTATCATGCACATTTGTATGTTATTACAGGCATATTTTATTGGCTGCCATTACAGTATAATCACTAAGGCTGGGCTGTGGAATCCCACTGCCCCAGTGTGAAGCTAAATTCCCATCTCTCATGTAGGTTTCTGTTGCTGGGTGTGCTGCTTAAGCTCTTTAAGCCTCACTTTCCTCATCTATGAAGTGGGGATCATAATAGTAACATATCACAGAGTTATGAGACTGGTTTGAGTTAACAATACACTAAAAGCATCTATTATAGTGCCTGGCACATATTAAACACTCAATAAATGTTAGCTATTAGAGTATTAATTAATAACTACCCATTATGTTATTGCAACAAGTAAACATGCCAGGCTGATTAATCATTTCCTGATTAATATACCTTTATAACATTTCTAATTTTTTCATTATTAACAACATTGTTGTAAGCAAATTAATGCATAAAACTGTTTTTCCTATGTAGAATTAGTTTTTAAAGAAAGATCCCATAATTGGAATTATTAGCTCTAAAAGTATGACTACTCTGATGTTTTTAATAAATTATGTCATACTCGTTTCCAAAACAGCTGTTCAAATTTACATTTGGCATGTTATAAGCAGATACCATATTATGTTTCATCTTCAAATACATGTTTTATTCCTTTACTAAAATGGAAATTCTCTGCATTTCTGGGTTTTTGGAATGTCATTCTAGCACTCTAAAATTATTCAGCATCTTTGGGAGTGATTAGAAAGAATCCGTAAGTAGAATGCATAAAAACAGAATGGTGTTTTTTCTTTTTAGGGTCTCTCTTCTATAATGGACACCTGCTATTAAGTGGGTACATACACAAATGCTCAGAAATAGCTATAGGTTTTCTCCTCTGATGAACTCCTAAGGCTTCATAATTATCAGTCATCAGTCCCTGTAGTACTTGGGAGAAGCCAGACTCTAGGAACCAAAGAGTCCAGAGGAGAAACAGTAAATAGTGAGAACAAGAAGGGTCCAGAAGCTGAAGTCACATTTTCCTAACCACTGTCTGCACCTTTCTTTCTGCAGAGCATAGAAGGCAGGAAGGAAGACATAAGGAGATGAAGAGAATGTCTTCCAAGAGAGGTAAGCGCCACTCTAGAGCCCATTCAGAGCTTTGGTGCTCACTCGCCAAGAATTTGAGGCTAGTTTTTTTCAACCTACTATGTTTAATTTTCCTATTTGCAAAACAAACTATTTTATTTGGGATGGGTTGTAGTATACATATATTTGTTTGTTTGTTTACTTGTTTATTTTTTTATTAAAATTTTTTTTTATTAAGGTATTATTGATATACACTCTTATGAAGGTTTCACATGAAAAAACAATGTGGTTACTACATTTACCCATTTTATCAAGTCCCCACCCATACCCCAATGCAGTCACTGTCCATCAGTGTAGTAAGATGCCACAGATTCACCATTTGCCTTCTCTGTGCTACAGTTTTCCCCGTGATCCTCCACACCATGTGTGTAGTACACATATTTTTTAAACATTTTATCATGGAAAATTTCAAACACATATAAGTAGAGAGATTCGTAGAATGAATGCCCATGTACCTATCACCCTGTTCAACAACTATCAACTCATGGCCACACCTGTTTTGGCTATAGCCCCACCACTGTACTGATTTTAAGACTAAAGGTCAAGACTAAAGAGTATTTCAATAATGCCTTTTTTCACCTAGAGGTTCCAAAAAAGTCCAGTCTCTTACAGGTTTACGTATAGAAAGAGAAAGTTCTGAAGGAAATTAGGTTACAGGTTCTTATTTGAAATAAATTTGGAGATTCATACTTGTAGTTTTAAATATCTCAAGGCCATCTGATGGAGCGCTGATTTGTCAGCTCAGGAGCTGTGCTGCAGAGGCCGGATGGGGGCAGTGTGCCATCAGCTCTGAGAATTTACCTGAACTCCCTCTCTACTGCGTGGGCGGATGGAAGGAGTTTCCCGGGCGGTTTCTTCCTCAGAACCAGCTGGTGGTCAGCCAGCCTGATGTAGTAAGTTGGATTTGACTGCCCGTGATCAAACTGAAGGAGTTCCAATGGGCCTACAAGTTTGAAAACAAAGAGAACTAAAACCAGACCTGGGCAGACGTTGTTTCCTGCTAATGAGCACTGTGTGTGGGACACAGAACATCCTGACTGCAGATGCACAGTATGAAAAGCACCTCCTCCCTGGGTACGGAAGTGACTGACTCCCAGGCATATGCCCCAGCTCGAGCTCAGAATCTCACACCACTACAGTGTGGCAAAGGCCATCCGATTTACACCTCAGTAATGTCCACTTTGTATGGGTGTCCAATTTTGTCCTTCTTGCCAACTCCTGCCCGTGAAGAAAAGCCTTTCAGCTCTTCAGCTCTTGTTTATCAACCACAAGCACAGCCATGGCAACTCATCTTGCTAAATGGAAGCTTTAGGCCTGAGGATGCAAAGTGCCTTTGTGTGTCCCGCAGCCCACACTCGGCCAAACCACGCCTGCTGGCCTGACAGCTGAAAGGAGCTCTGCAGAGACCCGCGGTGGGGCCGAGGCTGCTGTCGGGACGCGCCAGCTCCCCCAGCAGCAGGCTGAACTCGTGGCTCCCGTGCAGAAACATCCTAATTAACCCTGAGCTTCATAACAAGACTGAACTCTGGACACAGATTCCTTACATGTGGTCTCAAGAGCAGGAAATGGGGGTCTGCCTGAGCTAGCTGGCCCTCTCAGCTTCACAGAGGCACTAAGAATAATCCAGTCACTGGAAAACATCATAACACAGCTCCACACAAAAGTCTTTCTCAAGGATCAAATCGGTGAGGCAAAACTTTACCACCAGGTGGAGATTTCTCAAAAGCACAAGAGGCCCTGGTTTTTCTGAGGGTGGAATGCAAAGAATGGGAGAGATGGAGACTTGTCGGATTTTAAATTCAGGCAACTTTTAGGTCACCTTGACAAAACAGGCTGTCATCTCAAAAACATTAAAAGCATTCAGGTGCCACAGGGCCCCTACTGCAGTCTCATCCTAGACAGCAGTGTGCTGCCACACCACTGTCGCAGGTGCAAGAGGGACAAGCACACTTGGGGACCCATAAAAAAGGAGGTTCGTGCTTTTTCCCAAGCAAGAAAAAGCAGCAGACCCACTGGGCCCAATGGCTGTTTTCCTCACCATGTTGCCTCTTTATCTCCGCATATTCCACCAGGGTTTGGAAGTGAGAACCAGACGGAAAGCCTTGCCTTGGAAAGAGTTCTCAAAATACAAAAATTTAAATACCTGTGGTTTGGGGCCTCAATAAGCCTTTGAGGTAATTCTTCAAGGAATCTTTTGGAATTTCCATTGTCTTTCTCACAGGTCGAGTGTTTGGAATAGCCTTTCTCAACGTAAAACCCAAAAGAGATTCTAACTCCTTTACTGCAGTCTCTGGGTCATTAACCTGGTTTCAAAGAGAATATTGACTGTGGACCACCAGTTACCACTGACCTCTTCTCCTCCCTGTTCTCTAAGAGATTATTTTTTTGGAAGGAAATATTCAAGAAGTCAGTACTCCAAGCAAGGGCTCTGGAGCCAGGATATTCAGCTAATGAGGAAGCCACAGAATGAGTTTCCTCCCATTTAGTTCCTAACCACATTACACTTACTGATCTGCTGGGAAGAGTGCGAGTAAAGAGTCCATGATACTCCCCCATGCCAGGAGTTCAGAATGCTGTATTCAGCATCCACTCTGTCCCCACGAGCCCATCAGCTTCATAATGAAAACCCAAACATAGAAAGCTGGACCGAGCTCCCTCTCACATAGCTTCTCATGCTTCACAGCCATGACCTGGGGTGGTCCAGGTGGCTGGCAGCTGCTGGCTCTCCACTCACAGCAGTGTCATTAGGACAGCCTGGCTGCCACCCCAAATGTCTTAAGCATGCCATTCACCTCCTTGTGTAACTCTTTCCTCAAACGGCTTCTTCATAGGTGTCTGTCTTACTTCCCATTGAAAATACAAGTGGCTAGTCACATAGATTTCCTAATTAATAAAAAAATCAGAAGACTGCAGCAGCATGGGTGGGGGGGAATCACTGAACTAAAATAGCTGCAATTATGGATGTAAGAGGATTGCATAGAAATGCTTACACTAGCACCTGGGGCACAGCAGGGGTAAAAAACCGGGTGAGCTGTACCTTAATAGTATGAATACCGAGGTTGGCAGCTGCTTTTAGATTGGATCCAAGATCGTCAAGAAGGATGGACTCAGAAGGCTGCAGGCTGAGCCGCTCCAAGCACAGCTTGTATATCCTGGGGTCTGGCTTACAGACACCTTCCAGGCAGGATTCCACGACCTGAGGGAAGGAGAGGAATGAGAGATGAATGTCCCTAAGAGGTAGTGTTCCCACAAATGCACTGGGGTAGCAGCAGGATGAGGACAGTTGAGATTTGTTATGACAAGTAACTTAAGAGTGTTATGATATAAAGCGATGTTGCTTTTTTACAACAAGCAACATCGAGTGATTTGAAAATACTGGATTATGAACTGGGGGAAGTTCAGAAAACCAAAGTTCTTGTTGAGACACAGTGACCTTGTGCAGACCTTGAAGACACAATGGGCCTCAGTTTCAACATCACTAAAATGAGAGTATTAATGGCCATCTTCCCTAGCTTAGTGGTTGTTGTGAAACTTAAATGGAACTTAAATGAGTTTCAAGGTGATGAAGCAATTTGCTAATAGATATTGTGGTGGTTACATAGAGCAGTAGAAAAGTTGTACATTTCAGCATTAGGGACACTATTTCTCTATTTTTTTTTTTTTTAGAAAGCAGGCACTGTTTCCTGCTGCAAAAGAAACATGACCTTAATGTCTGTATTTCAGAAGTTAAAAAACAAACAGCCATACTCCAAAAGATAAATCCTTGGGGAAGGACTGCCACCAGAGACCATTAACGGCAGACACTGTTCCTTTTATGCAAAGAGCGTCCTGTATCTTGACAGCCTTGCTTCACTTGTGGTATTTGATCTGGGACCAGGGGAGCTGCTGAGGGTTCAGGAGAACCCTGAAAAAGCTGTCTCAGTGTCAGGCTGTCTTGGATCCAGCAACCCCCTGCAAGTCCTCTCACACTGTCCCTAGGATTTAATCTCCTATAAAGTGGGCCTACACGGCTATAGAGGCCTATCACCAATACCCTTTCATCTGCCCTAAAAATAGAACTAAACCCCTGACTCACTCCTGGAATGACCCCTGCTCTCCAAGTGCAAGGACAAACCTGAAGACCCCCCACCCCCAGTGCCACATTCTTCAAAGATGGATAAGAACTGCTCTTTCAGGTAAATAAATATCCTGAATTAATTGGCCCTTTCTACTTACTCTTCCCTATCTCCTCAGGACCTGAAGAAGCTACAAGAAGACAAAGACACTCCTTGTAAAGAAAATGTCAATAGTAGGCAGCAGAAAGCTGGGAGTTTTGGTCACCGATCAATGTACCAGGCTGCAGGGAAAAGCCCAGCTATGCTGGCCAAGACAAGAGATGAGAGACAGGAGCTAACCCAGGGTAAGGGAGCAGAGTTTTAACAAGCAGACACCTCCACTAATAGGAAGTGAAAAAAATTCTTAAGATTTAAGTGTGATAAGATTCCTGGTCCTCTCTGTTCTATTTTGCAAGATGAAAAAGTTTTAGAGATTTGTTTCATATTGGGGTGAATATATTTACCATTACTGAATGCACACGGAAAAATTATTGACAAATTTTGTTATGTTTTATTTCAATTAAAAAATATAAAAAATGTTTAAATTAGAAGAATATTAGATGAAATTATTTTAAAAGCCACATACACCTCAGCAAAAATTCTTAAAAGGTGGGTTGAAAAGTTCAAGAACAACCTTTAATGTTGACAGAGAACACAGGAGTGGTTAAACTATCTTTACCTTATCTTTACTTTTTTTGCCTTATAGTTTTAGAGAACAAAAACCTAAGCCCTTACTCTTGAGGAAATAGATTTTCAAAATTCTAGGTCTCCTGAAAACCTAAACTATGAAGCCCATCAGAAAAGCTGCTGGAAAACACAGGCCAGAGAGCCTGAAAAGTCTGAATAAACAAGTCCACTGCTTTAAAGAAGCTCACAGGTCTTTTAAATTGTAGCTTCTTTAAAGGGCCTCGTGTGAGCCTGGCCAACTTAATTCATACAGATGAAGATATTCCAATAGCTGCACTGGATGGAAGGAATCTGAAAATAATCAGTGTATTTAATACTTAACCATGTGCCAGGCACTAAGCAAAGCCCTTTGCAAGCATTACTCTGTGGGATCTGCATAGCTACCTTACAACAAAGAAGTGGCAATCCCTGAATTGTAGGAGAGGAACTGAGGTCCAGGGAAGGAAAGCTACTGCCATGGTCACCTGGCTAGCAGGCTGCAGAGACAGGATTTTGAATCTGGCTGAGGTTCCTCAGCACTCAGTGCAGAGGGAGCCTGAAAGAGGCTGTGTTGAGGAAACCAGGGGTCAGCAGGTGTGGAGCCAGACAAGGTGTACAGAGGAGAGAACACTGGCTTTGACAGGCCTTCTACAAGGAGGAAGGAGGTAGAAGGTGACAACAGCATTAGGTTGGAAGGTTCATTTCTGAAACATTTATACTGAATTTCTGCCTGTCAACTCTACTAGACTGTGTTCTAAGATAGCACTATCCAATCAAACCTTCTACAATGATAGAAATGCTATGTCTGTATTTTCCAGTAGAGTAGCCACTAGCCACCTGATTATTTACACTTAAATTAATTAAAATGAACTAAAATTCAGTTCCACAGTGATACTAGACACATTTCAAGTGCTTAATTGCCATATGTGACTAGTAGCAATCATATTGGACATTTCCATTTCTGAAGTAAAATTATTTTGGACAGCACTGGTCTAAGGATTAACGCCACAGAAATAGAGGGCAACATGGTGTTTGAAGAAAAAAGGTCAAAGAGCCTCTTAAGATGTGAGAGTTGTGTGTTATGTGACAACTATTGTTCAAATCTAGAACGTAAAGGAGTCTCTAAAACTGAGGTTTCGACCAGTTATCAAATCCTGTAAATGTTCAACCATAATACAAGCTCAGTGATATTTTACAAGTCCTCTTTTCAACCTGTTATGTCTAACCCTAACTTAGTCAAGTTAGTCTGAATGAAAAACCCATTCACCCAAGACTTGCGGAAAGCAGTATTTAATGTTGTACCCCAGGCAGGGGCAGACTGTTTTGTTTTGGATCACTTCAAGCTTACCACATCAAACTGTTTCCGGTCCAGGGGCAAAAAGCTTTTCCCACTGGGAAGATAAAAATTATTGGTCAAGACTGCAGTCTGAAGGCCTTTCGCCCGAATTTGAATTATGGCCTCAGTCATCACTGGGAACTGCTTCGCCACTTGCTCATTGGTCAGCAGAGAGAAAAAGGAGTCCACAGGCACGGAGATCTTTGACTAAGAATGGGGAGGGAGAGGAGAATCAGCAGTCGTTAAGAGGAAGAAGAGCTTTATCGCTAACACAAAGAAATGCATAGTCCAGCTTCCTACTGCTACCTGGTGGTAAGAGCCCTGGCCTTTGGCTCACTGCCCCAGGAAGCCTCTCCCTCAACCCTTGTGCAGAACTTTGCACATAAGATGGTAAAAGAGAGAACTTAGAATATAAGTTACAATAGTTAGAGAATGGAGCTATTTATATCAGTATTCCAATTAAATTATTAGTTATTTCACTCATGCATTGTCAATTTTAAAAAAGCATCATAATACCATAGAGGACACATTAAATTCTAAAAGTGTATTAATTTAAATTTTAATGATCCAGAAGACATCTAATGTATTGCCTCAGCATCACCATTTTGAACTTCAGTTTCTGATCAATTTTTTTGTTTTTAAATTCAATCTGTGCAGGCTTTGAAAACTCTTATTCATCCTTTCAAAATCTATAAAAGCAAGTCTGCTATTTCATACACACCACACACACACACTTTATAAAACAGCTTTATTGAAGTACAATTTGCACACCATACAATTCTCCCATTTAAACTGTACAAGTCGATGGTTTTTAGTATGTTCATAGAGCTGTGTGACCATCACAATTTCAGAGCATTTTCATCACCTGAAAAAGAACCCCCACCCATTAGCAGGCACTCCCCACCCCCATCACACAGAGCCCCACCCCACCCCCAGCCCGCTTCACCCTCCAACACTCCCAGTCCTAGAAAATCACTAATCTTTGTTTTTATACTGGAAATTTCATACAAATGAAATTATATAATATGTGGTCTTTTTTGAATGGCTTATTTCACTTAGCATAATGTTTTCAAGATACATATATACTTTAAATTGTGGTATAATACACACAACATAAACTTTACTATTTTAACCACCTTAGGTGTACAGTTGAGTGTCAGTAAGTACTTTCATTGTGAATAAGCTTTCTGATCAAAGCCATTCTGCAGACAGCTCTTGTTTCAGATGGACAATTGCTGACAGGGATTTAGTAAAGGATATTTTTATTTATTCATGTATGTAACTAAAAGTGAGTACCTGGGGAAGGAAGAAATAGCTTAAAAACTTATCATTAGGTTTTAAGTCTTCACTTCCTCATATGCAATTTAACCAACTTAATGGGTGAGTATTGCATCCACTACTCTAGGTAAAAAAAAAAAAAGTAAGATGGAAATTTAAGTATGTTTATAACTCACAATTTCAGAGCAAAGTTTCCCAAATTCTTGTAAGAAATCCTCTGTTGTTATCTCTCCTCTCATGAATTTCATCCAGATTCCATTTTCACCACCTGAGACAAGGGCCTTCAAAATAGTTCCAGAAGGGATATGATTTTGTGCCTCCCATTCTATAGGAAGTAAAATATGCAATGAATGAAGTACATTAGCAAATGGCTGGGGCTTGGGGAGCTCAGAAGAATTACCATACAAGTTCCTGTGGCATCACTGGGCTGCCAGGTGGGTTCTACTGGGAATTTGGAGAAATTCAGGAAATGCAAAATCTCAGCCTTGGACCTCCAAGAAGCAGCAATGCTAATCTGTGTGATGAGGGAACACTGTCCCCAAGCATCAGGTCTTTACCACCTGCTTGACATGACTATGAACACTCATTGTTTTTTTCTTGACTGAAACTCATTTTATTCACTTAAAATGATGCATATTAAGGGTCATTTGATAAGCAAACACTAAGGTTAAGCCAACCTGGGAACACACTGGCCAGGGACATTCTGCCCAGGGAAGAGGTCAGAGAAGTCCTGACAGGAGATCAATCTTGAAATTGATAATAACAACATAGACATATTTGCTGAGTGCTCTGAAGAGTCCAGGCACTGTGCTGAATAATATACCATTTAACTAGTCATTAAAAGTATGAGTAGGATTTGAACCGCAGAGACAGGGAAGGGCAGCTGCCAGTAGAGGGAACAGAACTTGCAAAGCACAGAAGTGTAAATGTGTATGGCAAGTTTAGAGAACATCAAGTAGTCCACAGTAGCTGAAATGTGGGCACATGGTGGGCACACCGTGAGGTGACACCGAGGGCTGATGGCAAGAGGCCCTGAACACCAGGTGAGAGCTTCCGGATTTAATCTATGGGACAAAGTGTAGCCACTCAAGAATTTGACAGGATAAGATCTGTGTTTTAGAAAGATAATTCTGGGGACTGTGTGGAGGCTGGCAGAGAGCAGAGCAAGGAAAGTAAAGTGGAGAAAATAGGAATCTAAACTTGGGTAGAGACAAAAGGAGTGAGGAGAAGTGAATAGGTCCTCTAGGTATTCTGGAGAAAGCTGAGAAAGTGATCATCTTCCCTGTAGAAGAGATTTCAGGGGTCTGCCAAGTATGGAGGTTTGGGTCGGGGGTATGAGGACGCCTGGGGGAGTTTGGAACAGCCCTGCAGCAAATGTGAAAGGAACATGAGTAGAAGAGCAGAGAGGCTGAGGACCCAGCTGCAGCTGGAGCTAAAAAAAACCCAGCTCACCTAGTCAGTTTGCACTGCTGGGTATTGTGAAAATTAAAGAGAAACTCACTCAAGTGAAGTTGTGAGGCCAATAGGGAGAGCTCTCATGCCCTACGGACTCCTGGATTCAGACTCCCAACAGTGAAGAACCCTCAGAATCACCAATCACAGGCAACAGGAAAAGATAGACATAGCATCTCCTACGAGAAATGGACTGCTCACTGCTGCAACTCAGCCGATGAGAAACCATACTCACCCTGAACTGTTGCTTTTTTCCAACAGGCTTTTGTTCAAAACAACTCCTCTCAACTTCCTCCTCCTCCTCCATAAATTAATGGACCTCTCCTTTGTTTATTGGACTAGCCTGTGTTTTTGCCATAGCTTGCTTGTCCTGAATTGTAATTCTCTGCTAGTCTAGAATAAACCCATTTTTGTTGGTAAAATAACTGTTTTTAGGGTCAACAGGAGTTTTTTAACCAGGAGCACAAAAAACCTGCGCTTGAGTAGATTTAGCATGCAGAACTGCCCAACCAGATATAGGTCAAAAGGTTAGGGACAGCTGTTTGACCCTTTCACCTTCCAGCTGGCAGGAATAAGAATGTGATAGCAGGAGGTAAAGCCCAGAACAGACCATGAGAAGAAACCGGAAACGAAGAGCAACACAACAGGAAGAGCCAGAGTCCCTGACAGAGCCTGTTCTCAGAGCAAGTACAGCCCCAGACCACACACCTGGGCCTTCATGTGCAAAAACCTTCTATCTTGATTCAGCCACTGTTCTGTTAAGTTTTCTAACACTTGAAGTCAAAACTAATCACCTTAAGTCAGTTGAACTGGATAGGGAAAAAAGTGAAACCAGGAGATGCTGATAAGAAAAAGATGAGACTAGAGGTTTTATCTTGTAGGTCCACAGGTTTAGAGGGCGGTTGGTGAGAAGGGAAGGTGGAAGAAAAGAGGAGGATTTCAGCATTTGAGATTTCACAAGTGTGTCCTCAGGGAAAGGCTGTTAGATTCTACCAATAACAGTAACATTGGCAGCTGATCATTATTGAGAATTTATATGAGCTGGGAACTCACTGTGCTAAGCAATGCTTTCCGTGGATTATCTATCACTGAACCCTTCACAAATTCCAAAAAGATAGGTATTATTATTGGCCCTAATTTAATAATGAGGAAACTGGGACCCAAAGAAGTTAAATAATTTGCCCAAGGTACTCAACCACCAAGTGGTGCTTGGAATTTGACTCAAGAGCTTGAATTTTACCCACAGGTATATAATGCTCCCCAAATGTTCCTGTCTCCCCTTACCATCCTACATTCCCCCACCCCTGTCTCCCGAAGTAAAACAGAATAAAGAGCTCACCTGCAGCCACTCTCCCTGGAGAGGGAATGAGAACTCCACCCATGTCAAAGATTACCGCTCTGTAGGTGCCACCTCCAGAATGCGTCCATCGCCAGGCTCCCTGGTGCCTGCAGGCTGCCCTCCAAGCCCACTGGAGATGGGTGGCCTGGAAAAGCCTCCTTATGCACATGTTCAGACCAAGGCTGCATGAGAAAGTGGCACAGGGCACTTTGCCTTCGCTGCCTCCAATCTGGACCTCCATCCTAGAGCTCAAGGGTGTCAACGGACATCTCTGCTGATCTCCCACAAACACTTCAAACTACAATTGGAACTGAACTATCTTCACCTTCCCTGACTACTCCTTTTTCTAGGTTCCTTAGCTCAGTAAAGGGCTCCACCTTTCAGCTAGCTGCCCAAGCTAGACACTGGGATTCACCCCTTCCTTCCCTCAGTCTTCTACTCAGCCACCTCAGCTCCAGCTACTCTGTGCTGTTAATTCTTCCTCCTGAAAATCTCCATCTACCTCTCCACTCTGGCAGCCATTATCTTGCCCAGGGATCATTGCAACACACTACCTGGTCCCATGGCCTCTTCTCAAACCCCCTTCTCATTCCTCCTTCACTCTTCAACCAGTCATCTTTCAAAACTGCAGCTGATTACATTCTAACCTTATTTAGAAACTTCAATGTTCCTCATTCCCTCATGACAAACTCTGTTCCTTAATCTGCCTTGAAAAGGCACTCTTTCTTTTTATTTGGTATCATATATGTACAATTACATGAGCAACATTATGGTTACTAGACTCCCCCCATCACCAAGTACCCCCCACATACCCCATTACAGTCACTGTCCATCAGTGTAGTAAGATGCTGTAGAATCACCACTTGTCTTCTTTGTTGAAAAGGCACTCTTAAGACCTGCGTCCCTGCTTTGGCACAACTCTCCCTTTTCCACACTAACCAGGATGATCTGGACATGAAAATCTTATGTGCAGCTTCCTCAAACACATGGTGTTCTCTTGCTACCAGACCTCTGCATATGCTGTTTCCTTGCCCTGGGGTGCTCCCTTCCACCCCATACTGCGCTAATTCCAAACTGTCCTTTAGACTGTAGTTTACCTGTCACTTCCTTCATGAAAACTCTTCTGGCTACCAGAGAAGACAGATGAGGAGTCTGTCCTGTATACTCACCTGTACTATAAGGATCCCTGCACTCACCCACTTCTAGCACTTAGAATGCTGCCGCCACACCATTATCTCTCCTACAGACCACTACAATAGCCTTACTGCCTCTTTTCTAAATTTACTTTCAAAAGGTTCAGGGAAAAAAAACCCATATCCATGACATACACATTATATATATATATAAATACATGGAAATACATACACACATATGTATATGTATGGAAATACGTACATATAGAGATAAGCCAAATATGCGGAATGTTATTAGTAAATCTAGGTGAAGGTATATGAGAGATCCCTGTATTATCTGTTCAACTTTTCTATAGGGGGAAAGAAACCAAAATAATTAAAGCAAATTCTATTTGCAGTCATTTCCTCATGAAAATCCTTAAGCTTTTGTGATTTCTATGGTTAAATAGCTCACTAAAAATCAGGATAGAGCAAAACAGGTAAGAGCCTACAAGTTCATGGGAGTCACTTCAGTGCCACCATAATGATTCAATAAATTATGTAAGAATCTAAAGGAAGGATTCAGGAGTAAATCTTCAAGGTGATACAAAAATATGTTTCTCCTGTAATTGGAAATTTGGTGAATTGGGAGTGAATTTTGAAATGAAAAACTTAGGGGTTGATTTGCATTTTCAGTTTTACTTAGATTCTTATGCCAAGGCCAAAGTTTATAATGGAAGAAGAAATTTATTTACAGGTTCCTAAAAGCATCAACACATTTTGTGTGAGGGCTTAACAGAGAGGAAAAGTGTTTCCAGGGCCTGAAGAGTGACCTCCATTCTCACTGAGGACTCTATCATCCACATTCTCCTGCTAATAGGTGAGTGGGCAAGTGCTCCCATTGACTAGCTTGCTTATTCCTTCCAACCAGAGATGATGGAACTACTCTAGCCACTTCCCAGCACTCTTCGGAGCAGGAAAATGTTGTATTTCTGACACATCCAGGCTGTGGTACATGCCAACTGAATGGAACACCTTTCCCTGCTTTATCTGCCTGTAACTTCTTTTCATTTTTATGTTACAGCTAAGGACAGGCTTTTAGGCTTTTATTTTCCCAGGCAGACTCTGGTACTTTTTTTTTTCATAACCTTCACTAAAGCATTTACCCCACTACACAGTACTGTTTTCATGTCTATCTGCTCCTATAATTATAAGCCCCTTAAAGTAAGGACTATTTTATATCATCTTTGTATGTATCCATCCACTGGAGCCTAGCCCAGTGTCTAGACACATAACAGATGCTCAGTATAGAGTTGAAAGAATGAATAAACAGGATGAATCAGAAAATAGGTGGAAGAAGGGGACAGCCTTAATGGTTGGCAGACACAAAGAACTGTAATAAGCCCAACTTGCCCATCTCTAGCTAACAATCTGGGTCTCTGGAACTGGCACCTTCCTTCTGTGCTGAAGAGAACAGTCTGTCTTCTCTCAGAATAATGAGATTAATATGATGATGTAGATTTGCTATCTAAATTATGTTTTCATAAATATGCACATAGAGTGTCACATATTAAGGAGATGGTTTAGTAAAGAGATTTGAGTGTTGGCTCTGGAATCAGAATGCCTGGGTTCAAATCACAGCTCTACTACTAAGCGTGAGATCTTAAGCAATTTTCTCTCTCTCTGAGCCTAAGGTTCTTCCTCTATAAAATGACTTAATTATAATACCCTTCTCATAAAGTTACCGTTACTCTCCCATGAGATAAAATATGTAAAGCACTTAAGTTCAAGCCCTGGCATACCAGTAAATGTTATCTACTATCATAATATACTATAAAAAGTTCACAAGTCTCATGTCATATACATATACTATGTGCATATGGCATGTGCATCTTCACATAAACCAGTGACTCTCATCAAGAGGCGATTTTGGCTCAAAGTGGACGTGTGGCAAAATCTGGAAACATTTTTGCCTGTCAGCACTTGGTGGGTGGGGGGACTGCTACTGGTATCCAGTGGGTCAGGCCAGGGATGCTGCTGAACACCCTGTGCAGCAGAGGACACACACGCTCCCCAGAGAATTGTGGAAACCCAGAATATTAATAGTGTAGATGCTGGATAACCTTGATATAAATTGTATACTGAAACATTTCATAAGGTGCAGTCCCAAGCTACATTTACACATGTATCAAGTAGTCGTGCTATATGCCATATAGTCCACATACTGTGTGACAAGCATGTGCTTTGACACACCTGAGATACCACTTCATCATGTACCTAGAATAGCATCCTGTCACATATGTGCCATATGTATTGATTGTGGTTCTCAGTATCTGTATGCTAAAGGCAGCCTAAGGTACTGGAAAGAATGCTGAATCTCAGGAAAATTGATGACGATAGAGGCCACACTCTATTCATTTCATTCTCACAGCTGTATATTCCTATTTTATCCAAAACCTCGCTCAAGGTCACAGAGGTGGTCATCAAGGTTGACTCCATAACAGGAACTGGATGTTCATCTTATTAAACAATGCAGCTCCATCATTCCAACCGTGCCTAGGCGCTCGGTGAAATACTGTGAAGTGATAGAGTGGGGACTAGGACCGAGATCTATCTCCAGCCCTGCACCACCCTGCCTTTGTCCCATTTTAACGCTGCAATCGAGTCCCTACTCCGCATGGGCCCGCAGAGGATTCACCTCCCAGCCTAGCCGTACCCTCTGTAAGGTGTGGCTTACACAAAGCAATCCGACCTACAGCTAGAGCGAGGGGGTCAAATGAAAAGAGGCACCAGCTCTCCGCATGACGTGGTTCTTCCGACAATTCGGAGACCAAGCGGAGCTGGGGACCCCTACCCGTCAGCTAAGGTGGGCTGACGGCAAGGTCCCTGGGGTAAGTTAACTTAGGCCTGGGCGCAAACCCACCGATGGGCCTAATGGGATCAGGGACCGCAATCCCCGCAACGGTTCTCCTCCGCGACCTCCAGGAACCCCAGTCAGGAAAAGTGCAGGTTCACCTCCGCGCCGCCACGTCAGTCACGCGGACGCCGCCCCGCCCAGTCGGAGCTCGCGCTGGTTCCGCGCATGCGGAACCCCGGGTCAGCGACGGCAGCCGGGAGGCGGAAGCGGAGGTGGTTGTGGCTCAGAGGTTTGTGCGAACTGCTACTGCTGCTGAGGCGGCGTTAGCGGCGCATCCGGCCTCGGGCCGTCCGGCCTCTCGGCTCGCGACTCAGCCTCTCCTGAGCCCGCCGGGGCCCGGGCCGGCCAGCACCTGCCCTATGAGTGTGTCACTGGTTGTCATCCGATTGGAGCTCGCAGAACACTCGCCCGTCCCCGCCGACTTCGGCTTCAGTGCCGCTGGTGAGTCTCGCGGCCTCGCCGCCTTCCCTGTAGCCTGGCCTGGGTGCCGGGGCTCTCCTAGCAAAGGAAGGGCCTGGGGAAAGGCCGCGGCCAGAGCTTTTGCCTCAGGAAGAATCTTCAGAAGTGGCTGAGATCACCCCCGTTCTATCCATCCTTAAGAGCCTTTCTCGGATGTCAGGTCTGGGAAGCCCTTCCTGGGCCTCCCACGGGCACTCTGTTTTCTTTTTTTTTTTAGGTATATATATATTTTATTTTGGTATCATTAATCAACAAAATTACATGAAGACGGGCACTCTGTTTATGCGTGGAGCGTCGCGCTCTCAGCCCTGGATTAGAGTCGAGTAATGTAGTTGCTTTTCTCTAGGTTTTGTAAAGGCAGAGATTGGATGCCCCGCGACGCTGACGGTCCGTGGTTTGAGTCGTTCCTCTTTGAAAGAATATCCATTTAGGCGCCATGTAACAATAATGATAATTATAACTAAAATTTGTACACGTCGTATATCCCAGCACTGTACTAAAACACTCTGTGTGCATATCTTTAATTATTTTCACAACAGCCCTATTGGGTAAATAGGTGATAGGTCTTTTTTACAGATTGGGACACTGAAGCCCAGTGATTAAATGACTTGCTATTATCTGTAAGCGGTGAAACTAGGATTCTAACTCTGAGACCCATACTGGAGTGTCTTTGAGCTCTTCACTACCAGCCACACAGCCACCTTACTGGCGAATGCAGCTATGACTATGTTCCTTGGACCTTGAACAATTTACCAGCAATAACGTTAATTCAACAATTAATTACTGAATGCTCACTATCTGCTGGACCTTTAGTTATGTTCAGAATCAGGCATGGTCCCTGCTTTAATCGCACTAGAAGTTCAAGAGAGGAGACAGATTAATTAAATAATTACAAAATAAACGTGGAATAACAGCTGTAATAAGTGCTTTGAAGGAAAGGAAGAAACGGTTTCGAAAGCTATGATGAGAGGATCTATTTGGTTTGGAGAGGCAGGCTAGAGCAGGTAGGGATTGTGTTGTATGTTTCCCTGAACGTACATTTTAAACATTCCAGTGTTTGCTAGGCACCATGTTGGGGATCATTTAGGGATACAGTAATGGACAAAATAGGCCTGGTCCCTGCTCTAGTAGAGCTTATATTGAGGATATTTCAGTTGAGTGTCCAATTCCTTTTACCTTTCTGTGTGTTTCAGTGATTTAAGACAGCCATTTCAGATTCTCATTCAGTTATTTAAGACAGCATTCACAGATTCTCATAGCATAAAGCTAACCCAAGGTGTATAAGAAGACTACTAAACGTTTTTGAAAGTTTTGTTTATTGGTGAACTTGATTTCATCTGGGGCTCAACACAGTTCCACTTTATGAGGGATTACTAAAACATTGGTCCGTCTGGGCATAATCACTGTTAAACCTCTAAAGCTCTTAGGCTGGTAAGTGCATGATTTCACTAGAGCAACCCTACGTTTCTGAATTTATTGCATTGGCTGTGTATGACTTTGCAGGCACTGAGGAGCCCAGAGGTAAATGAAATGGACACAGCAAAGGTTTCTTATAGTCTTGGGGAAGGTCAGATGAGGGAAAAAGAAAAACTGTGGGTGGATACATTGAGAGTGGAGAAGAGCTTGTTTTAATTATCAGATACTAATCATTCATGTGTTCTTTAGCGGGGGAAATGTCTGATGAGGAGATCAAACAGAAGACACTAGCTTCAGCTGTAGCCTCTTTAGAAGGGAAGTCACCAGGGGAGAAAGCAGCAATCATACATCAGCATCTTGGCCATCGAGAAATGACAGATATGATCATTGAGACCATGAAGTGCAAGCCAGGTATGCTTTCTACAATCCTAGCCTTTCTTTTGTAACATAAGCCACTCATTGCCTATTTTATACATGTTGTTTGATGAGCCCATGATTTTTACCTGTAGCATACCTTTTTCTTTCACTGCCTGTGTGCCTTATGTGAGGTTATCAAGCCACATTTCAACTTTTCCAAAAATTTCTCCTAAATTAATACAAACAAGCTGAGTTGACAGCTTTATTCAGTGAGGAAGGCTGCTTAGCACCTACATCAGTGGCAGCTCATAAATGACTCCAGATAAGCATGTTGTGTCTTCCCCTGTTCTGCCAGCTCACTCCATAGTGGTGGTCAGAACTGGTTGGTCTAGTTTCCAAGTTTAATAGCCCAGAATGTGTCCCACTTAAACAGCACATGATGGGAGACACCTGCTTTTATTATGGTAAGAGCCATCCTTGAGTTTCTGAGAATAAATTAATGAGATTTTTGTAGGGCAAAGAGCATTTTCAAGTTTTGATGACCCTAAAACTCAGCTGATCTATGAATATGGTTCTTAATGTAATATATTACAATTTCTCTGTCAAGAGTTTTTTCTTCTGACTCAGATTTTCATCTAATTAGAATCTTTTGGCATATTTCCTATCTGTTTATAATCTCATTTTTGATTTGTGAAAGAGCTGAAAGCTACGATGGAAGACAAGAAGTCTTCAAAAGCATCCTCTACTGCACAGAGAAGTAAAGAGCAAAATAATGAGTGCATAAACACTCCTGATTCTCCATCAAAACAGCTTCCTGACCAGATTTCATTCTTTAGTGGAAATCCATCAGTTGAAATAGTTCATGGTATTATGCATCTATACAAGACAAAGTAAGAAAAACCTTTTTCCTTCTGATCTGATCAATTTTTTGCTTTAAGGCAGAGGGAAATCTCTTGCCCTGAAAAGAAGTGAATATTTTAAGTGTCTAAAGATAGGACTTTCATATATTTAATGTAGAGAATTACTAAATGTTTTGCATTTGGTTAATTTTGTAGAGTGGGTCAAAGCTTTTTGTAAAAGAAAGTAAGATACATTTGAGAAAATATCCTGAGAAGGTAGACATACAAAGTGATTGGAAGATTGAAAAGGAGGAAGATAAAAAAGAGGAATTACAGATGATCCATAACATCATTATAGTATCATATCTTCACCAAATCTGTACTAAAGAAGCTGCTAAGACGTCAGTTAATGGATTGCAATTTCATCACTTTTTACCCTTTTCTGTGATCCAAAAGGAGGCTGGAGGTCCAGGAAAGGAAGCATTTGGCTAGGTAATTTTTAAGTGGGGCCATTAGCTCGTTGAATTATCAGCAGCTGGTCTCTTTAAAGGCTGTCCTTGTCCAGACTTGCTTGCTAGGTCCCCACTGGGAAGCAATGAATACTCAGGTAGCCATTTTGGATCACAGCTGTTCAAGTGGGTTTGTTGCATTTCAAAAAACAAATTGCATTGTGTGAGGGTTCCCCCCTCCCCGTTTATTCCAGCCGTTCCAACCCAGCAACACTTTCTCCAATCTTCAGTCACTTCTCATGGTTCTAAATTCTTTTTTATATTTAGAGCTCCTTTCTCTTCTAGACCTTTTGAGAGAAGTCCATAGTAAGAATTGTGCTTGCTTCTAAGTTACCTGATGAGAGATTATTTTAAAAACTCATGAGAACAAGGCACAAACTGCACATTTGCCTAATGCAGATTCATAACCATAATAAGCCTTTAACTGAAGATTAAAAAGTTCAGTGGTGATTGCAATGTAGAACATTTCAAAGCTGACCTTAAACTCCATTGCAGATATGTCTTAGGAATTTTGCATTTACCCATGTGGTTTATATGTATTTTCAGGTAAAATAACAAGCTGTTTAAATTGCTTTGTAAAGTATTACAAGTTTCTTTTTTTCCTATTTTCTTGGACATAAAAGTTGTCTGTTGTCTGAACTAACCATACCTCATCTATTCAAGACAGTCTAATTATTGTCTTATTAGTAAGATGACCTCCTTAAAAGAAGATGTGAGGCGCAGTGCCATGCTGTGTATTCTCACAGTCCCTGCTACAATGACCAGTCATGACCTTATGAAGTTTGTCGCACCATTTAATGAAGTAATTGAACAAATGAAAATCATCAGAGACTCAACTCCAAATCAATATATGGTGCTGATAAAGTTTAGTGCACAGGTAAAAGTTAAGATACTAAAAATCTCTGCCACAGAAACTGTTTTTGAAACTGTATAATCCTAGCAGTGTGTGATTTACAACATTTTGCATTTAAGATTCTTGGTATACATATCTTCTAGGGTACTGTTGTGATTCTAGAAACATTTCTGTCTATATTAGCAGACACACTGTTCTAATTCATACTCAATTTTCTATAAATCGGATTGGGTATGAAACCTGAGGTTGTGTCAGTATTTCCTAAACTTTCTGAAGTTGACAGCATATTACTTGTCATAACACCTTGCCCCTGCTCTCTTAGTTCTCTTCTCCAAAGTTGTTCTTTGACACATTTTAGAAAATGAGATCCATTTTATTTTTTAAAATTTTGGTGACAAGAGGGATTTTATGACATTCCTTAATGTATTAAAGATGCTTCAGAGTTCTGACTGAAAATCACTTTAATACAGAAACACCCAAAGAATGGTGATGTTTTCAGTTTTTAAAAGTGCATTATTACAGATACTTTTTGATATAAGGTGGTTTGCCATCCACTCCCATTTCACTTGTTGCGTTAAGCAACATTTTCCATGCTTCTTGTTTCTCTGTGTAGAAAGATACTCCCTTGGCTTTACAAATTTTTTCTTACCAGTATGCATATTTCTGTATGAATTTTTAAATGAGGTAAACTTTAGGTATTATCCACATTATTAAAGAGCTACCTTATCGTTATGTTTTTTTTTTCTTTTTTTTTTTTTATCAGCCTGGTTATGACTTTTATTTTGAATTCTTTTTTAGGAAGATTGGTTATACTTGTCTCACCAGGCTCTCTCTCTGGTGTTTGAGTGATTTTGGACTGACGTTATGTTTTTTTAATAGCCTGTTACATTTGTACACTCCTTAGGTTTTGAAGTGGAGCTTTGTCCAAAGTTACTCCTTCCTCACTTCACTGATAAACAGCCTTCCCGAATTTGCCTCAGCTAAAAAGTTCCAGCTTGTAGATTGACAAAGAAATGGGTGTGCCTTTAGGATCATTTGCCACTGTCCCTGGCCAGTCACTGAGATTTGTGGGTGTAAGGGAGCTCATGGCACAAGACCCACTTGCCCATCTCCTCCTTCCTCATTACAGAAATCTAGACTTGACAGCAGTAGCAGGCATTCATTGGCCATAGAGAGGAAATTAAGAGAAGTGAGAGTTGAATTGTATTTGCATCTTCTGTGGGCCCCAGAGGGAGAATTATTAGCGTGGGAGTTCTGTACAAGAGGGTACAGAGTTACTTAACCTTTACAAAGCATCCCACCATTGAGGGGGACATCAAAAACATGTTTAGCTATCCTGTAGACTTAGATTTCACAAGTTGACAAGGAGAACAGAAAAGCATTTAATCAAGAGACTTTCCAAGGTCACTGAGAAGTTCTGTAAACAATAGGCAAGTGGTACTTTAAACCTTTAAATCGAGTAGCATTGTAATGTAATGCTGAGGATTGCAAGGTTCACAGGCAGCCTTTTTTGACAGTGTGTTCTATACCACTCACTGTGCTAAGTGCTTAATGTGCATTATCTCATTTAATCCTCAGTGCCACCCTATGAGGTAGACGAGTACTGCTACTATCCTTTTACAAATGAGGAAACTGCAGAGAGAAGTTTGTGATTTGCTTAGTGATTTGCCCAAGGCTAGAAATAAGTGACTGAGCTGGGATTTGAGCCCTCATCTTACTTCCTAGGGAATACTCTTCCAGTAACAGGATAAAAGTAGGGGGAAGGGAAGGTAGTCACTATTTGCAAATGGTGTAATGCCAGTATTTTAGTTTTAGCTTCTACTTAACAATTAAGGGCAGTCAGCAAGCAACACAGGAAAAGTCACAGAAACAGATTGGGAAAAATGTTTAAGAACCTAGTAGATTTTTGAATCTTACGAAGTCTTGTAAACCCACAAACATCCCTGTAGCAGCTACTGGCTTTCATACATTACAGATAATGCTGTAGAAATTTTCAGTTACTGTTGATGGATTTTCTTTGTACTCATGCACTGTTTCTCCACTGTTTTTGACCAAGTGCAGGTTGCCCAAGTTCATGGATATTTTCTGAGACTGTGGTACAGCTTGCTGGCTCTTCCCCATAGGAATAGAACCCTTGGCATCATGAGTTGTATTATTTAGTGCTAATGCTATATCTTAAGAATCTGAGGCATATCCTGTTAGGCCTAAAAAAACACCCTCCTGGTATAAGACTTGAAGTTATTAAATTAATATTGGCCTTAAAGAGAACTACAGATTTAATAGCTACCAACTGTTGATTTTATCCAAAACCTCGCTCAAGGTCACAGAGGTGGTCATCAAGGTTGACTCCATAACAGGAACTGGATGTTCATCTTATTAAACAATGCAGCTCCATCATTCCAACCGTGCCTAGGCGCTCGGTGAAATACTGTGAAGTGATAGAGTGGGGACTAGGACCGAGATCTATCTCCAGCCCTGCACCACCCTGCCTTTGTCCCATTTTAACGCTGCAATCGAGTCCCTACTCCGCATGGGCCCGCAGAGGATTCACCTCCCAGCCTAGCCGTACCCTCTGTAAGGTGTGGCTTACACAAAGCAATCCGACCTACAGCTAGAGCGAGGGGGTCAAATGAAAAGAGGCACCAGCTCTCCGCATGACGTGGTTCTTCCGACAATTCGGAGACCAAGCGGAGCTGGGGACCCCTACCCGTCAGCTAAGGTGGGCTGACGGCAAGGTCCCTGGGGTAAGTTAACTTAGGCCTGGGCGCAAACCCACCGATGGGCCTAATGGGATCAGGGACCGCAATCCCCGCAACGGTTCTCCTCCGCGACCTCCAGGAACCCCAGTCAGGAAAAGTGCAGGTTCACCTCCGCGCCGCCACGTCAGTCACGCGGACGCCGCCCCGCCCAGTCGGAGCTCGCGCTGGTTCCGCGCATGCGGAACCCCGGGTCAGCGACGGCAGCCGGGAGGCGGAAGCGGAGGTGGTTGTGGCTCAGAGGTTTGTGCGTACTGCTACTGCTGCTGAGGCGGCGTTAGCGGCGCATCCGGCCTCGGGCCGTCCGGCCTCTCGGCTCGCGACTCAGCCTCTCCTGAGCCCGCCGGGGCCCGGGCCGGCCAGCACCTGCCCTATGAGTGTGTCACTGGTTGTCATCCGATTGGAGCTCGCAGAACACTCGCCCGTCCCCGCCGACTTCGGCTTCAGTGCCGCTGGTGAGTCTCGCGGCCTCGCCGCCTTCCCTGTAGCCTGGCCTGGGTGCCGGGGCTCTCCTAGCAAAGGAAGGGCCTGGGGAAAGGCCGCGGCCAGAGCTTTTGCCTCAGGAAGAATCTTCAGAAGTGGCTGAGATCACCCCCGTTCTATCCATCCTTAAGAGCCTTTCTCGGATGTCAGGTCTGGGAAGCCCTTCCTGGGCCTCCCACGGGCACTCTGTTTTCTTTTTTTTTTTAGGTATATATATTTTTTATTTTGGTATCATTAATCAACAAAATTACATGAAGACGGGCACTCTGTTTATGCGTGGAGCGTCGCGCTCTCAGCCCTGGATTAGAGTCGAGTAATGTAGTTGCTTTTCTCTAGGTTTTGTAAAGGCAGAGATTGGATGCCCCGCGACGCTGACGGTCCGTGGTTTGAGTCGTTCCTCTTTGAAAGAATATCCATTTAGGCGCCATGTAACAATAATGATAATTATAACTAAAATTTGTACACGTCGTATATCCCAGCACTGTACTAAAACACTCTGTGTGCATATCTTTAATTATTTTCACAACAGCCCTATTGGGTAAATAGGTGATAGGTCTTTTTTACAGATTGGGACACTGAAGCCCAGTGATTAAATGACTTGCTATTATCTGTAAGCGGTGAAACTAGGATTCTAACTCTGAGACCCATACTGGAGTGTCTTTGAGCTCTTCACTACCAGCCACACAGCCACCTTACTGGCGAATGCAGCTATGACTATGTTCCTTGGACCTTGAACAATTTACCAGCAATAACGTTAATTCAACAATTAATTACTGAATGCTCACTATCTGCTGGACCTTTAGTTATGTTCAGAATCAGGCATGGTCCCTGCTTTAATCGCACTAGAAGTTCAAGAGAGGAGACAGATTAATTAAATAATTACAAAATAAACATGGAATAACAGCTGTAATAAGTGCTTTGAAGGAAAGGAAGAAACGGTTTCGAAAGCTATGATGAGAGGATCTATTTGGTTTGGAGAGGCAGGCTAGAGCAGGTAGGGATTGTGTTGTATGTTTCCCTGAACGTACATTTTAAACATTCCAGTGTTTGCTAGGCACCATGTTGGGGATCATTTAGGGATACAGTAATGGACAAAATAGGCCTGGTCCCTGCTCTAGTAGAGCTTATATTGAGGATATTTCAGTTGAGTGTCCAATTCCTTTTACCTTTCTGTGTGTTTCAGTGATTTAAGACAGCCATTTCAGATTCTCATTCAGTTATTTAAGACAGCATTCACAGATTCTCATAGCATAAAGCTAACCCAAGGTGTATAAGAAGACTACTAAACGTTTTTGAAAGTTTTGTTTATTGGTGAACTTGATTTCATCTGGGGCTCAACACAGTTCCACTTTATGAGGGATTACTAAAACATTGGTCCGTCTGGGCATAATCACTGTTAAACCTCTAAAGCTCTTAGGCTGGTAAGTGCATGATTTCACTAGAGCAACCCTACGTTTCTGAATTTATTGCATTGGCTGTGTATGACTTTGCAGGCACTGAGGAGCCCAGAGGTAAATGAAATGGACACAGCAAAGGTTTCTTATAGTCTTGGGGAAGGTCAGATGAGGGAAAAAGAAAAACTGTGGGTGGATACATTGAGAGTGGAGAAGAGCTTGTTTTAATGATCAGATACTAATCATTCATGTGTTCTTTAGCGGGGGAAATGTCTGATGAGGAGATCAAACAGAAGACACTAGCTTCAGCTGTAGCCTCTTTAGAAGGGAAGTCACCAGGGGAGAAAGCAGCAATCATACATCAGCATCTTGGCCATCGAGAAATGACAGATATGATCATTGAGACCATGAAGTGCAAGCCAGGTATGCTTTCTACAATCCTAGCCTTTCTTTTGTAACATAAGCCACTCATTGCCTATTTTATACATGTTGTTTGATGAGCCCATGATTTTTACCTGTAGCATACCTTTTTCTTTCACTGCCTGTGTGCCTTATGTGAGGTTATCAAGCCACATTTCAACTTTTCCAAAAATTTCTCCTAAATTAATACAAACAAGCTGAGTTGACAGCTTTATTCAGTGAGGAAGGCTGCTTAGCACCTACATCAGTGGCAGCTCATAAATGACTCCAGATAAGCATGTTGTGTCTTCCCCTGCTCTGCCAGCTCACTCTATAGTGGTGGTCAGAACTGGTTGGTCTAGTTTCCAAGTTTAATAGCCCAGAATGTGTCCCACTTAAACAGCACATGATGGGAGACACCTGCTTTTATTATGGTAAGAGCCATCCTTGAGTTTCTGAGAATAAATTAATGAGATTTTTGTAGGGCAAAGAGCATTTTCAAGTTTTGATGACCCTAAAACTCAGCTGATCTATGAATATGGTTCTTAATGTAATATATTACAATTTCTCTGTCAAGAGTTTTTTCTTCTGACTCAGATTTTCATCTAATTAGAATCTTTTGGCATATTTCCTATCTGTTTATAATCTCATTTTTGATTTGTGAAAGAGCTGAAAGCTACGATGGAAGACAGGAAGTCTTCAAAAGCATCCTCTACTGCACAGAGAAGTAAAGAGCAAAATAATGAGTGCATAAACACTCCTGATTCTCCATCAAAACAGCTTCCTGACCAGATTTCATTCTTTAGTGGAAATCCATCAGTTGAAATAGTTCATGGTATTATGCATCTGTACAAGACAAAGTAAGAAAAACCTTTTTCCTTCTGATCTGATCAATTTTTTGCTTTAAGGCAGAGGGAAATCTCTTGCCCTGAAAAGAAGTGAATATTTTAAGTGTCTAAAGATAGGACTTTCATATATTTAATGTAGAGAATTACTAAATGTTTTGCATTTGGTTAATTTTGTAGAGTGGGTCAAAGCTTTTTGTAAAAGAAAGTAAGATACATTTGAGAAAATATCCTGAGAAGGTAGACATACAAAGTGATTGGAAGATTGAAAAGGAGGAAGATAAAAAAGAGGAATTACAGATGATCCATAACATCATTATAGTATCATATCTTCACCAAATCTGTACTAAAGAAGCTGCTAAGACGTCAGTTAATGGATTGCAATTTCATCACTTTTTACCCTTTTCTGTGATCCAAAAGGAGGCTGGAGGTCCAGGAAAGGAAGCATTTGGCTAGGTAATTTTTAAGTGGGGCCATTAGCTCGTTGAATTATCAGCAGCTGGTCTCTTTAAAGGCTGTCCTTGTCCAGACTTGCTTGCTAGGTCCCCACTGGGAAGCAATGAATACTCAGGTAGCCATTTTGGATCACAGCTGTTCAAGTGGGTTTGTTGCATTTCAAAAAACAAATTGCATTGTGTGAGGGTTCCCCCCTCCCCGTTTATTCCAGCCGTTCCAACCCAGCAACACTTTCTCCAATCTTCAGTCACTTCTCATGGTTCTAAATTCTTTTTTATATTTAGAGCTCCTTTCTCTTCTAGACCTTTTGAGAGAAGTCCATAGTAAGAATTGTGCTTGCTTCTAAGTTACCTGATGAGAGATTATTTTAAAAACTCATGAGAACAAGGCACAAACTGCACATTTGCCTAATGCAGATTCATAACCATAATAAGCCTTTAACTGAAGATTAAAAAGTTCAGTGGTGATTGCAATGTAGAACATTTCAAAGCTGACCTTAAACTCCATTGCAGATATGTCTTAGGAATTTTGCATTTACCCATGTGGTTTGTATGTATTTTCAGGTAAAATAACAAGCTGTTTAAATTGCTTTGTAAAGTATTACAAGTTTCTTTTTTTCCTATTTTCTTGGACATAAAAGTTGTCTGTTGTCTGAACTAACCATACCTCATCTATTCAAGACAGTCTAATTATTGTCTTATTAGTAAGATGACCTCCTTAAAAGAAGATGTGAGGCGCAGTGCCATGCTGTGTATTCTCACAGTCCCTGCTACAATGACCAGTCATGACCTTATGAAGTTTGTCGCACCATTTAATGAAGTAATTGAACAAATGAAAATCATCAGAGACTCAACTCCAAATCAATATATGGTGCTGATAAAGTTTAGTGCACAGGTAAAAGTTAAGATACTAAAAATCTCTGCCACAGAAACTGTTTTTGAAACTGTATAATCCTAGCAGTGTGTGATTTACAACATTTTGCATTTAAGATTCTTGGTATACATATCTTCTAGGGTACTGTTGTGATTCTAGAAACATTTCTGTCTATATTAGCAGACACACTGTTCTAATTCATACTCAATTTTCTATAAATCGGATTGGGTATGAAACCTGAGGTTGTGTCAGTATTTCCTAAACTTTCTGAAGTTGACACCATATTACTTGTCATAACACCTTGCCCCTGCTCTCTTAGTTCTCTTCTCCAAAGTTGTTCTTTGACACATTTTAGAAAATGAGATCCATTTTATTTTTTAAAATTTTGGTGACAAGAGGGATTTTATGACATTCCTTAATGTATTAAAGATGCTTCAGAGTTCTGACTGAAAATCACTTTAATACAGAAACACCCAAAGAATGGTGATGTTTTCAGTTTTTAAAAGTGCATTATTACAGATACTTTTTGATATAAGGTGGTTTGCCATCCACTCCCATTTCACTTGTTGCGTTAAGCAACATTTTCCATGCTTCTTGTTTCTCTGTGTAGAAAGATACTCCCTTGGCTTTACAAATTTTTTCTTACCAGTATGCATATTTCTGTATGAATTTTTAAATGAGGTAAACTTTAGGTATTATCCACATTATTAAAGAGCTACCTTATCGTTATGTTTTTTTTTTCTTTTTTTTTTTTTTATCAGCCTGGTTATGACTTTTATTTTGAATTCTTTTTTAGGAAGATTGGTTATACTCGTCTCACCAGGCTCTCTCTCTGGTGTTTGAGTGATTTTGGACTGACGTTATGTTTTTTTAATAGCCTGTTACATTTGTACACTCCTTAGGTTTTGAAGTGGAGCTTTGTCCAAAGTTACTCCTTCCTCACTTCACTGATAAACAGCCTTGCGGAATTTGCCTCAGCTAAAAAGTTCCAGCTTGTAGATTGACAAAGAAATGGGTGTGCCTTTAGGATCATTTGCCACTGTCCCTGGCCAGTCACTGAGATTTGTGGGTGTAAGGGAGCTCATGGCACAAGACCCACTTGCCCATCTCCTCCTTCCTCATTACAGAAATCTAGACTTGACAGCAGTAGCAGGCATTCATTGGCCATAGAGAGGAAATTAAGAGAAGTGAGAGTTGAATTGTATTTGCATCTTCTGTGGGCCCCAGAGGGAGAATTATTAGCGTGGGAGTTCTGTACAAGAGGGTACAGAGTTACTTAACCTTTACAAAGCATCCCACCATTGAGGGGGACATCAAAAACATGTTTAGCTATCCTGTAGACTTAGACTTCACAAGTTGACAAGGAGAACAGAAAAGCATTTAATCAAGAGACTTTCCAAGGTCACTGAGAAGTTCTGTAAACAATAGGCAAGTGGTACTTTAAACCTTTAAATCGAGTAGCATTGTAATGTAATGCTGAGGATTGCAAGGTTCACAGGCAGCCTTTTTTGACAGTGTGTTCTATACCACTCACTGTGCTAAGTGCTTAATGTGCATTATCTCATTTAATCCTCAGTGCCACCCTATAAGGTAGACAAGTACTGCTACTATCCTTTTACAAATGAGGAAACTGCAGAGAGAAGTTTGTGATTTGCTTAGTGATTTGCCCAAGGCTAGAAATAAGTGACTGAGCTGGGATTTGAGCCCTCATCTTACTTCCTAGGGAATACTCTTCCAGTAACAGGATAAAAGTAGGGGGAAGGGAAGGTAGTCACTATTTGCAAATGGTGTAATGCCAGTATTTTAGTTTTAGCTTCTACTTAACAATTAAGGGCAGTCAGCAAGCAACACAGGAAAAGTCACAGAAACAGATTGGGAAAAATGTTTAAGAACCTAGTAGATTTTTGAATCTTACGAAGTCTTGTAAACCCACAAACATCCCTGTAGCAGCTACTGGCTTTCATACATTACAGATAATGCTGTAGAAATTTTCAGTTACTGTTGATGGATTTTCTTTGTACTCATGCACTGTTTCTCCACTGTTTTTGACCAAGTGCAGGTTGCCCAAGTTCATGGATATTTTCTGAGACTGTGGTACAGCTTGCTGGCTCTTCCCCATAGGAATAGAACCCTTGGCATCATGAGTTGTATTATTTAGTGCTAATGCTATATCTTAAGAATCTGAGGCATATCCTGTTAGGCCTAAAAAAACACCCTCCTGGTATAAGACTTGAAGTTATTAAATTAATATTGGCCTTAAAGAGAACTACAGATTTAATAGCTACCAACTGTTGAACACTTTCTATAGGCCAAAGCTGTGCTGAGTGTTTTTCATGCGTTAGCTCCTTGAGTCCTCCCAACAATGCCATAAGGTAGGTTTCTTTACTTTCATCTTTTATAATTGAGGAAAAAGCACAGATAAGCTACATAGCTAATAAATGTCAGAGTTGGAATTCAAACCCAGGCAGCCTGTCTCCACAGCCTGGACAGCTGACTATATTCTTGTCTTTCTTCATGGGAAATTTTTATTAATAACAAAGACCTTTTTTCCCTAGTAAACTCTAATGTTGATGAGAATAGTTAGTTGACAAAGGTATTAGGAAAAGTAAGAAAGTGATTGCCATCTATTTAGAGGAAGAAAAAAAGGGGAATTGGATAGAGTTGTAGGAAGGTTTCCTTGGGTACTGGCCATATCCTGTATATTAACCTTGCTTGTCGTACAGTTACATTTTGTTTGGTGCACTACTAAAATGTGTATTGTATTCCACAATAATAAAGCTACACAATTAAAAAAATACTAGGCCTTTTCTATATCTTTTATAATCTCTTGAATTTCTGCTGGCCTCAGCTTTATGCTGGAGATATGCTTACAAGGTCATACTGTGGGCTTTAGGAAATTTAGTCTTTGAATAAGGAACTTATAGTTCATTAGGATACAGAAGGCAGGAGGGGGTTCAGTTTTGTAGTTCTTGAGAACAAAAAAGGATTGATAACCTCTAAGTAGAGTGTGTCGGCTCATTTTCACTTGCATTCTTAGGAAGCCTAGGAGACCCCTCTTCTGAGAAGTAAAAATGTTCTCAACACTATAGTTTATAATTGTGATGGTAAAGGACCCTTGATCAAAATGGATTTTTCTTTTTCTGAGTTTATCCTGGGAAGAAAGAGAACAATAAGAACAAAGGACAAAAAAAAAAGCTGAGTTTCTTTACATTTGGGGCTCTGTACAATGCAAACATTTTAAGTAAAAGAGTTGTTTCTTGTATGTTTTTTGCAGTTAGCTTCAGGCCTTTGTTTTCTGCATTTCAGTAGTGAGTTGAAGTAGGACCCATGTGTATTTTGTTCTCTACTCTCATGCTAATGCAGGGTACCTGGCACATACTGGGTGCTCAGTAAATAATTGAACAAGTGAAGCTACATTTTTAGTACCAAAATTTTGAAGTACATTTCACTGGCATTGGTAAACAACTCCCCCAGTAAAGGAATAATTTTTCTGGTGTTGAGTAGATCTTTTTTTTTTAATTTTTTAATTTTTTAATTTTGTTATCATTAATTTACAATTACATGAAGAACATTATGTTTACTAGGCTTCCCACTTCACCAAGTCCCCCCCACATACCCCTTCACAGTCACTGTCCATCAGCGTAGTAAGATGCTGTAAAAATCACTACTTGTTTTGATGTTGAGTAGATTTTGTCACGTGCCCAGTATCACAAACCTTGTCCCTTCCTCTCAGGAGGTATGGTTGCTCAGTGAGCATTTAGAAAACTGGAGGTTTGAAGTGGGTTCGGCCTTACCTCAGCTGGCACAGCTGCAACCACTTGGTGGTAGTGCTGAGACCCCAGAGACCTGACCCGTGGCCTCACTTCCAGGCACTCAGTTCCCTCAGTGCACGAATCAGTGCTTACTCACCCATAAGCATTTCAGGAAAATGCCATGGCTCTTGACGAATTTGGGAAGCCATTTTAGGTTGCCTCTTAGTATTAAAGCTATTTACTCTGCAAGAACTGGCTTTTAACATTTTGAAGTTAAAGTGCAATCACCCAATATATAGACTGTTTCCTGAAAGAAAGCCCTCCCTCCAAAAAAACTGTTTAGAATTGATCATCCTGCCTCAGCTGCTCAGCTCACTTGTTCATATTAAGAAAGCATAAATAATCAAGCATCCACATTTAAATTACATCATCAGAGTGAAATGAAAAGCTGCTGAAAAGCTTACAGGCACTTTGAGGGTAGACAGGCGGGACTATTTTTGCCTGGTTCAGACTTGAATCTCTTCCTAGAGGTTGACAGTGTGGCATTTCCTTTAGCAGAACACCCTTCCTCCCCTCAGGCAGTTTGTGTCTATTGGTTGGGTGAAAGCACACTACTTCCCACGTTTGGACTAATGCCCATGTGGGAGTCAAATCCAGACAAGCCTTGGCCTCCCAGCTGCCCCTAAAAATTGCTGAGTTTAAAAACTGGAATCGTCTCCATTACTTTCTACTAAAGCCAAACCTGAAAGTCTGATTTGCTTGTGTCCATGTTCACAAATGTACATGTGCCTTTGCAGCTTTAGCTACAAGTGACTGTTTCCCCTGATCCTATCTTCTGCTCCAAGGGAGCCAGACTTCTAGTATTTTACAAGCTGGCTCATCTTGGACTTCTTCATCTTGGCCAAATGTTTGGCTTTGGTATTACACACTAGGTTGTTTAAAACTCCCTTATGGAATCCTTGTCTATCATGTATTATCATTTGGTTTATTGAAGAGAGGGTTGGCTTTTCATTCCATACCCACTCCCATTCCACTGGTCCTTTATTTTCTTCCAACACAGATGCTGGCATTTTTCAAAAGGTCTGTTCCCTTTTGGAAATCGTCAGTTATGATTTCATTCCAAGATTTGCAAAAATAAGTATTTACTTTGAGTTGCTGGGAAAGTGCTGACCAGAGGGCGGAGAAATACTGATACCGAGGGAAATGTCTATTGCCAGTTGAATATTAAAATTGTACCAGCTAAGCTAAGGATTTTATTATAAGAGCAGTGAGATGCCACTGAAGGTCCCATGCAGAAAACTGAAATTAATTCATATACATTTCTTTAAGAAAAGCATTTTGGCTTCAACCACAAGAGAGAACTGGAGGTCCAGGGGTTGGGTTTAGGGAGACCAGTAAGGAGGCTGTTACTATATATAGTCCAGTAGAAGGCTGTTGACAGCTGATCTCTAAGGGATTTTTCTGCTCGTAAACAAGGGATTTTTATGTTTATCCAGCAGAAATTATAGACATTATTTGGCCTGCATTAATTTGAAACAAACACCAAGTTTTATTGAAAGTTTAGTGTATTCCTCAGGAGATATATCTTCTTTTAAATTAGGCTGCTTACACTGCTGAATTGTTTTTACAGGTAGGGAAAACACTTCATTGATTATGTTTTTTAAAGAAGCAGACCAACCAATCAATTTTTTAAAAAGGCAAACCTTCTGGTATATGGGGAGTGTGTGTATGTGTTCCAGATAATGAAATAGAAATGTGCTCGAGGAGAGATGAAATAGAGGGGAGATACACATTTTTTGAGCCTGTGTCATCTACTCCTTCAGTGAATAAATATTTATGGAGAGAAAAAAAAATAAAATAAAATAAAATTGTACCAGCTGTCAGCTGACTGCACTTTAGTAGCTTCTGCTAGTTCAGGTAAAACTACCATATATCAGGAAACATTGTAGAGATGCAGAATATTGATCTCAGTTTGATTAGCCTATGAATCTGCTTCCTGCTTCCAAAGATGTTGCTTTTGGCAGTTCCTTCCTTTCCTGAGTGTAAACTTTAAAAGCTGATGAAGAGAGTAATTGAAGCTGTGCATCTTGAATATAAAGCATCTTTTCAGGATATCTTTTTAAATTTTTTCCTTTTCCCCATTTGTGTGCCTAGACTGATGCAGATAGTTTTTACATGGCGTGCAACGGCCGCCAGTTCAACTCCATAGAAGATGATGTTTGTCAGCTGGTCTATGTGGAAAGGGCCGAAGTACTGAAATCTGAAGATGTAAGTGCACATGAGTCTTAAATTTGATGTAAATATATCAGAATGGCATAAAGGTGAATGTTAAGGTGTCTGTGGAAATGTCCAGAATAGGCCAGTCCATAGAGACAGTGTGTTAGTGGTTGGCAGGTGTGAGAGACAGGGTGATAGAAATGTTCTAGAATTACATAGTAATAATGATTGTACAGCCTTGTTGAATATACTAAAAACCACTGAATTGTACACTTTAAAATGGCAAATTCTGTATTATGTGAATTTTACCAATTTTTAAAAATTGTCCAAAAATGTTTTTTAGAAGGATATTACCTGTTTTATTAAAATTGAGTGCTCATCTATTCCAAATCGATAAATTATTGCTTAGAGACTAAAAGAAGTGTTTTTGTTTTAAATATCAACCCTTAATCCCTGTTTTAATTCTTGATTCTGTTTTCATAGCAGTCTGTAATTGCTCTGATCTTTCCAATAATATATGCTCACTAGAACCATTTTATGAAGTAGTAGATGCAGCTATGTTACATTTTTAAGATTTCCTTCCTTTTAAAGTAGACCTAAAGGTCTATCTACCTTGAAATCAGCTTGATGGAAAAAAGTTCAGTGAGATTGTTCTATCATTAGGTTGGGTGAACTAAAAATTGTAAGTGATAAAATCAGGGGTCCTTTATGCCATGTGCTGAGCAAGTCCTCAGTTTTAGAGATTCTTTTCTCTAAATGAACAGGGCTTCCTGAGAGATTTCCAGTAAATACCACTCTTCAGGCATTAATGTGATTTTTCTTGGCATGTCCTTATGTGTGTATCTCCTCACCTTTGCCTGGATGATTCCTGCTTACCGTACAGCTGGCAGGGGTCATGTCAGACATTGCTGCCTCGGGCGCCTTTCTTGACCACCTAAACCGTTAGGCCGCCTATTTGACATTCTGCTGTGGCTCCTACACTTTTCTCTTATAGCACTTATGACTATTGGTAATACTTCTTTTTAATTTGATTTTTATCTCACTCTCTGCTAGATTCTAAGCTCTGTGAGGTCAGGGTCTTACTTTTTTTTATTTGGCTTAATTGAATCTGTTTTTGCTCACCATTGTTCCACACCTAGATCAATATCAGGCACACATTACAGGGACTCAATTACTGTGTGTTAAATGACTGGGTAACATCAGTGTTGTCAGCTGATACTAGTGTCACTTAGTAGAAAGTGTTGACTTTTAATTTACTCTGGAAAAATTCAGATCTGTTCCTATTCTCCTGCTTTCATTCATTTGTGTTCTATTTTAATCATAAACCTTTGCAGTTAGAGCTGGGAGTCTGTTGACAATTTAGGTGCTCTGTTAGGTTTGGTAGCAGTCTCCCTTCCTGGAATGTCACCTCTGTGAGAACAGGGATGTTTGTCTGCTCTGTTCACTCCTACATCCCCAATGCCTAGCATGGTGCTAGGAATGTAGAAGGTGTTCAATCACTTTTTGCTGCATGAATGAAAATCCTACCGATTTAAATTATTTACACAGTACTAATGTTAAGAACATCCTACTAGGAGTCAAAAAGCAACAGGAAAACTATTGTTTAGAGAAAAAAATTTAGAACTGGTATATGAAAAGTGCGGCTTACGTGAGGTGTTTCTGTGTAGGGCGCCAGCCTCCCCGTGATGGACCTGACCGAGCTCCCCAAGTGCACAGTGTGTCTGGAACGCATGGACGAGTCAGTGAATGGCATCCTCACCACGTTGTGTAACCACAGCTTCCACAGCCAGTGTCTGCAGCGCTGGGATGACACCACGTGAGTGTAGGAGCTAGTCCCCCACCCTCTCAAAACTCATTATTGCTCTTTCCCAGAATTAAAATAATATCACCAAAAATGAACCTTTCCAATATTTGAGTTTATAAACCCTGATGCCACGATAGGAAAGAGTTACCATGGAAAGGCCTTACATTTTTCTTCACTTTCCTCAGTTTGCCTGGCAGTCTGCATTTTTAGACAAGTCCTAAGTTTGCTGGTTCTGAATCCTTGTGGAATTTCCAGAAGCAGTGTGAGTTATTGCATTCTAAGAGCCAGAGAAGGAGGGGATAAAAGAGTAATGCTGAGCTTTGAGGTTCTTATACCAAAATGAAATCTCGATCTAAAATCTCCTATCACTTGCACTTAATGTCCACCATTTACTTTGGCTTTCGTATCAACTGAGGTGTAGCAGTCTAGCATGTTAGATTTATCGTGCTGTTAATAGCTCAGTGGCCACTAGTAATAGCAGTCATTAAATGTGAGGCACACATATACCTACAGAGTCCTTTTTGCCAATGTGATAAGAGGCCTTATTTGTAGAGTGGCATTGTAAAGACAAAGAACTGGCCTGTGACCTCTACCTTTTTTTTTTTTCTTTATCAAGTCATTGCTCCCTTTGCAAACTACACGGTGGTACTTAGCTAGAAAGGTTTCCTGCTATAGAGAGAAAGATACAGATTCAAATAATCACACAAATAAATATGAAGACATAGCCTTAACAGGTGTTACAGAGGAGCAGCATGCAGTGTTGTGACTGGAGAACCAGGGCTCTGACACAGCCAGGGCTGCCTGAGCAGGGGCCTCTCAAAGAGGATGAGTAGGAGTTACTAGCAAGGGACCCAGGAGAAGGCAGTGTGGGGTGGGGTGTGCATAAGAAGGGGGAAATCACATCTGAAACCTAGAAATGAGGGAGGGGTAATATCTACACGAATTTCTCTTCTCCACCCCCAAGTGATCAGAAGAAGAATGCCAGCTTTCACAGAGCAGGGGCCTTGCCTGACTAATTCACTGCCATGTCCTCTTACCTAGCAGGAGACCTGGTCATGTAGCAGAGAATATTCCTAAGCAAATAAATAAACCCTGAGTTTTCTGTAGCTTACTTAGCTGCACAAGAAAATTGCCCCAGTTCTATAGAGTCCTCAGTCAGTTCTGGGGTATTATTTGGTGGTTCTGAGAACTATATAGGTTTTAATTTGCCTTGAATGAAGCCACCCTGAGAGGTATGCATTCCGTAAAGTGTTTATCTGTATTTCGTGTCCATCTGCTCTGCCATTTAAGTTCTAGACACCTCTTTGTTCTCCATCACTCCAAATTTACTTTCAGTACAGGCTGTCATAGAGCCATAGCAGTTTAAAGTTGGAAGTTTGCTCGGGGACCAGCTTGTACAGCCACCTCATCTTAAAGAGGACGAAACTGAGACCCAGAGGTAGAAATTAGTGTGCTTCAAGTGTCATGGCCAGAGAATGCCAGAACTGGGACTGGAATTCAGCCCCCTGTAAACCTGGTGACTGCCCTCAAAACATGCAATTCCTTCAGCAGGTGGGCTTTGAGTCTCAGTATATGCATAGAACAGTGTTAGGTACTGATGTGGGGGAATCATCCACAGATCCTCAGGGAAGTTCAACCTGCTAAGGGAGTTTACATACACACACAAATGCATACAGTCCAATGTCTTGGAAGGGATTGAGATGGCTCACCCACTGGGGGTTGTCAGGAAGGGGTACCTGGAGGAGGCAGCATTGGTACCAGGTCTTAAAGAATGGATTTTTGACACATGGAGATGTCAGGGAAGGACATTCTGGGAGGGGTTTCCACAAATATCTCCTCAGGAAAATAATATGACAACTCAAAAATTATTTTTGAAGGGGAAGGCAAGAAGATTTTATAAACTATTAATTAGTTTTTAATGTGATATCATACAGAACTAACTGTATAGTACAAATAAGTTTATTTTGTGACCTCCCTTTTTTATTCTCAGGATCACTTACATTTCAGAAAGATCATTCTAGCACAATGTAGAAAATAAGATCTCAGAATTAGCTTATTGTTTTCTTATTCAACCACCACCACAGCCGCCACACAGACTGAAGGATGACACAGAGCTAGTCTCTGACAAGACAACTTGCTGCCTCCCAGCTGCCATTTTTGTTACTTCTTCAAATTTGTCTTGTGTTCTTTTTCGACACTAAAGAAGGAGACAGATTAGATCGTTTACTTTTTTCTTGGGAAACACAAATCGAGCCACCTCATCTGTGACACGAACTTGGAATTCTTCCTGCTTATTTCCTTTTCTCGGTTTTATTTGCTCAGTTAGTAGCAAACTGATACTAGTTATTTCTTAAGCATTTTTTCTTCTTGGTGTCAGTTCAGTTGCCCTCAACCATAACTCTCATTCGTTGTATCACATTCATGATGATACTTAGTGTTACTTTCTCCTGTATGATAGAAAAATGGATTTTTTCAATGCCTTTTTTTTTCAGCTTTATTGAGGTATAATTGACCATCAAAAATGGTATATATTTAAAACATTCAACTTGATGACCTAATATACATGGTGAAGTGTTCACAACAAAGCCAATCAACACATCCATCACATCACACCTTTATCATTTCCTTTTTTGCATGTCTGTGGTAAGAACACCTAAAGGCTCTCCTTTTAGCAAATTTCAGAAATGCAATACAGGATTGTCAACTATAGTCATGTTGATGTACCACAATTCTCCAAAACTTACTCATCTTGCATAATTGAAACTTTGAACCTTTTGACCACAACTCCTCCCCACCTCTTTTTGTAAACCAAAACTTGAGTTTTTGCAGAGCAGTGTTATCTTCTTACACAGTTCATTATATGGTAAAGAGTCATGTGCATTTCAGGAAGTAAATTAACTTTTTTTTTTTTTTTATTTGGTCAGATTTACTACAGATTTTAGTTTCAACTCTTAGGAGCAGCCTTGAGAGGACAGGGTACATTTTGAATGATTTAAATCTTTGGGAAATAGGGATAAAGTTGATTGAAGTAAAAATACCAAATGAGTAACTAGACATACAACAAAATTAATGATTTATCTCAAGTCCCTAATTCTAACCTGCAAATATTTAGTTCTTGGATTACCTAAGCTTTAGATGGAAGAGTAGAATAAGGTCAAAATTTCTGCCTTTTCCTCAGCTTTATGACTTTTTTTATTTTCTTAAAATAGCTTGAAAGTGTTTGGCTTTTGAGCAATATCTTTAGTTTTGATAACTTAAAAATAGTATATAAGGAAGAGAGGATTTAAAATTCAGTTTCTGACTTGAGGTCTGCAACAGCTGTCTTTTATATTTAATCTGTGCCGTTATCTTTTGGTGTCCTGGATAGGTGTCCCGTTTGCCGGTACTGTCAAACACCAGAGCCAGTAGAAGAAAATAAGTGTTTTGAGTGTGGCGTTCAGGAGGTAAGTAATGGATAGTGAGAAAGAGTAATGAACACAGCTTGAACTGTCAGGGATTTTCTTCTGCCTTGTGTGGCTTAAATTCTTCTTGAGACTCATTCTTTTTTTTCTTTTTGTCTAAGGTCAGGCAAGAAATATAAATACACAAATTATTCCCAAGTAAAATATTTCACACTTCTTTTCTTCTTTGGAAAGGCCTAGACTTTTATTGATAAATTCTGAATATTTCTCTTGCTGTTTGTTCATAGAGTTCCATAAAATCAGAGTGAGAAAATGGTGGACCCATAAAACGATCCTTGTTTGCTGGATTTTAAATGTATATTTATTCAAAACTCCTGTAGGAACAACTCTAAATGTCATTCTGTTTCAGGGCTCTTCTCACCCCAAGTGGGCCAGGTCACATATTTTTGTATAACTAATGAAGATTCTACCTTCTTCTTGGCAGAACCTTTGGATTTGCTTAATATGTGGCCACATAGGATGTGGACGATACGTAAGTCGACATGCTTATAAGCACTTCGAGGAAACCCAGCACACATATGCCATGCAGCTCACCAACCACCGGGTCTGGGACTATGCTGGAGGTGAACACCGCTCTCATTGCCTAATTTGGATTCATTCTATATGAAAACTCTTCCTTCAGAACCTCTGCACTTTCTCTCACAGCTTGAAATCTTCCTGCCAGCTGTGACAAACTCAGTTCTCATGGTGCAATGAAGGGCACTTTTTCCTGTGAATGGCCTGAACTGCACATTATAAAGAGAATTAATACTTCCACTCTGCCCTGTCACTCTCTTAAATACAAGTGCTTCAGCCTACTTGTAAAGAAACACTGCAAGGGAGTTAATTTAGATCTGTAAAATCAAAAATTTTCAAATTTAAGAGTGTATGGAGACCTTTTTGTTCTAAAGATACATGCCTTGGTTGACTTACTCTTTTCTTTAGATAATTATGTTCATCGACTGGTTGCAAGTAAAACAGATGGAAAAATAGTACAGTATGAATGTGAGGGTGATACGTGCCAGGAAGAGAAAATAGATGCCTTACAATTAGAGGTAAGATACATTACCAGTAATTCCTAAATACCTATTTCTACTGATTTTTACTATTCTAAAATCAGTAAAAGGTGGTTTTGACTTTTCCTTTTGTCATTTACTCTGTATGTCTATGTCAACTTCCGTTTTAAAGTTCTGTCATTGCTGTGGAGGACTATTAAAATACTTTTACTCTCTCTGATCTTTTCCTTTGAAAGTCTAAGTTCCATTGTGCCTTATTTTCAATGTGTTGTTCCTTGTGTCAAGCTCAGTACTAAGGCTGTCCTTGAGCCGCAATAAACTAGAAGTTAACGATCTTCCTGTTGGAATCAAACTAACAGTGGGAAATGGAGCAGACTTTGGTCAGAATGAGGAAATAGTGTGTCTCCTAATAGCCTGTTTCCTTGCCCAACAAGCTTTTCCAGATATGTTGGGCTGGCATTTTATGAACTACAGGTGTATGTACTCAAATGTGTACTCAAAGTATATACTTTATGAACATGATGCTTGTATACATAAAGCCATTTTGGGGTATTCATATAGTTGAGGAACAACAAAATTAGCCCAATCTGATTTTTCTCCATAACAGTAAATCTACTATAAAACTAATAAGAGGGTGAATTTTATGTTAATGAAGTTTGATACAAGTACTGTTTTATATGAATTTCAAAGTGATTCTTTTAAAAACATACTTTAACCTTGGGAGGAAATAGTTATTGTAAAACTTGCTCTCAACTTCAGACATTTTAAGTTCTGGTAGATTTAGTAGAATGATCTAAAATAAGACTGATGTTATCACTAATGAATTGTATTGATAGGAAACAAGTTCAAGCCTTTTACATTAAGTTTTTAGAATAAGTAACTTCCACAGTAAGTATGTTCATAGTATATTCATTCAGTGAATATTTATCAGGGCTACTGTCAACCTTTGCCCCTGGTGCTGGGAACGCAGTGTTGACAAGACTCCGTGCCCTCGTGGAACATGTCTTGTAGAGCACACATGTTCCCAGTTGTCCTGTCTCTCTTGTGCACTTTCATTCGGTAGCTTACAAACATGTTTAGATATCTTTTATTTAGTTGTTTAGAATGGTGTTTGTAAGGTGTGGATGTGGTGTTGCCACTCTGTGGCCCACATGTCTCACTGTGATACTCTTAAGCCTTCCATTCGTACCAATTCCCTGCACCCTCATTGGTGTTACTTCTCCATCTTGAAGAGATCTTAAAATGTCCACAGCTCACACCGGAGTTCAGTAGTTTTCTGAAATCTGATCTCTCTCTTTACCTGTCTCCTCTTCCTGCCTGTCAAGAGCCCTCTTCAAATCTTTCTTTCTCACGGAAGTCCTACCAGATATACTGTCATAAGCCATCTATCCTTTCTCTGTGGTTACATGGCAGCGTTCATGCATTCATGCAGTTGAACAGCAAACATTTCCTGACATCCAGCATGTGCCAGGCCCATGGGGTACAGAAATAGGGATAGAACACTCACTTTCAAACAGTTCACTGTCCATTTAGGGAGACAGGCAGGTAAACTGGTGATTAAGTGCTGGTGTCATAAGTGGTGTTAATGACAGACACAGAGCTAAGAATGCTGCAAGGGACACTCAACTCAAGGCTGGGAGGGACAGGGACAACTTCTTGGAGAGAGAGTAGATGGATGAGCTGATTTGAGTGCACTTTTGATAAAACCGTGTGATTTTAAAATCAGCTTGAAAAGAAACCTCAGTTTTGGTTTTTTTTTAATGTACATTTCTCTCTCCAGGTTAGACTGTAAGCCCCGGGAAGACAGAATATAATTTCCATCTCCATGTTACCCTTGTTTGCTGGTTAGAGGATAATCAAGGTGTAATGTACATTCTGATGACTACTCTTACTTTTGTGTAGGTCATTAAAAGTTAGGCTTTAATTGGATTTCAGAGACCAACAACAGTGACTTATGTTTTGGTGTTTATTCTTTGTTCCTAGTATTCATATTTACTAACAAGTCAACTGGAATCTCAGCGAATCTACTGGGAAAACAAGATAGTTCGGATAGAGAAGGACACAGCAGAGGAAGTAAGTTCTGGTGACTGCTGAAATGCCATGCAGCAGGGTAGTCTGATGTTGGGGTGGCAGAAGGCAGAATATGGGGAAAAAAGGAACCTAGAATCTTCCTTCTCAGTCTGATACACAGTAGGCAACTGTTTTGTCTCTAAAAAGAAACTTGTATGTCAATTTTATCTCAATAAAGCTGGGGGGAAGAGAAAAAAAGAAAACAAGAATTTGGAATTGGTTGGCTCATCCCAGTAACCTCACTCAAGATTAGGATTCCAGAGAGAAGTGGTAAAGACTGGAGTAGTCATTAAGTCTGTAATATAAGGACTGAGGCAGTGTCAAGCAATGAGAGATTCTAGACCACACTGAGAATCAAATTGTGCAAAAAGGGAAAAGGAAGAGAAAACAGTACACTATTGCAACTACAGTTAGCTGAGCATAATTGAAGAATTAAAGGGGAGCAAACATATATTCTTACCTAAGATGAGTAAGCCAAAACTATTAAATTATATGCTGAGCTCTATGCTAAATGTAAGGGAGAAGTTGAATAGCTGCTATGTGTCCTAGGGAGAAAAAAGACCCAAAAACTTGGATTTAAAGGCTTGAGTATTTTGGTATGTTTGGCTGGGGGTACAGGTGTTGTTTCTTAATAACTTCAGTCACGTTTTCTAGTGCCTTGTACAAATTCTATTAAAAAAATAGAAGTATGTACAGGAGGGCTTGTAATTTGAGTCAGCCAGTTAGTTTGTCAACTTGGGAACAGCTGCTTTGGGGAGCTGAATGGGGAACTTCTGTGGCAACAAGATGGTGCTGAGCCCTACAAAATGGAAGAGAAGAAAATCCAGCAGAGATGCTGGAGCTTAATTGGTTAGTGTGGTGCGTTACTGGTCTAGGGCACTGGTTTTCGAATTTTAACAAAGTCCTTTAAAAAAGATGTCACTCGGGAGCCAAGGTGGCGGCATGAGTAGAGCAGCGGAAATCTCCTCCCAAAACTATATATATTTTTGAAAATACAACAAATACAACTATTCCTAAAAGAGAAACCAGAAGACACAGGACAACAGCCAGACTACATCTACACCTGCGAGAACCCAGTGCCTCACGAAGGGGGTAAGATACAAGCCGCGGCCTGGCAGGACCTGAGCGCTCCTCACCCCAGCTCCCTGCGGGAGGAGAGGAATCGGAGCGGGGAGGTGGAGGGAGCCTAGGACTGTTAAACACCCAGTCCTAGCCATCTGCATTGGGAGTGCAGACACACTGCGTGGGGTGCTGGATACTAGGGAAACAGGACAGTAAAACCTGTGAGCGGGTCCCCGCAGCTGGCATCCCTGGGACAAAAGAAAACTGAGTATC